ATGTTAAGCCACTACCTTTCTTACAAAATCAGAGCAACTGACAGCAGAATGGCCTATTTTGAGCTTCACCTCCTCTCTCACTGGCCAGGGAACACAATAGGGAAACAAGCGATTAAGACTTGGCTCAAGGGTGGACCAGCTGCAGCTTCCTCCCTAAAGGTGCACACATCTTAAACAATGTAGCAAAAATGAGGGCAGCCTCCAGGAAATGGGAGAGTGGGCCTGGTGTGAGCAATGTCTTTGGCTGAGTTCAGGATATAGATCTGCAAATGATAGCCTCTTTAACCGGTGGCTGAGCCAGTATAGGAAATAACCTGGTATATACCTGGTGAGTCATGAATCCCAAATATGTGGGGAAATGGAAAAATTTTCCCCAGAGTCCTCTTTGCTCCTTTTGAAAAATGCTAAGACTAGGAGACCCAGGCCACATTTTTTTTTAAAGCTTCCCAGGGGATTCTGATTTAGCCGAGAATTACAGCTGTAGTGGAATAGGAGTAAGTCAGAACTGAAGTTACTTAAACCTGTCTGTCCATTTATCGAAAAGAGTTAACCCCTGCCCTCACTACCTCATGGGAATAGCTAACAGTAAACATTCAATAAATTTAAGCTATTATGTGCTATTAGGCACTGTCCTAGGAGCTGCACTTGTATAATCACACAGCCCATGGGAACTGATTCAGAGAGCTTAAGGAACTTGTCCAAGGTCACACAGCGAAGGCTTGAATCCAAAGCTGGGCAGCTTTGGCCTAGAGATCATGTTTTTAACTGTTATTTAACAAGGTTGTAAAGAATATATGAAACATGCATGAGGGGACTTCCCTGATAGTCCAGTGGTTAAGACTTCACATTCTGAATGCAGCAGGCCTGGGTTCGATCCTGGTCAGGGAAGTAGATCCCACATGCTATAAACTAAGACCTGGTGCAGCCAAATAAATATTTTAAGAATGTTATCAGATAAAAACAAAACACTTAAAAAGAAACAAAAACATTCATGAGGATAGCATTTCACTGAAAAGTTAAAGATGGTTTAAGTGGCCAATGAATGAAATTGCTACAGGGAAATCAGCATCTAGCCAGCACTTGCTACATCGTAGCTGCTCACAATTTCATTCAAAAGCCTTGAAAATCTGATCTCTGCCCTCTGTCCCTCAAATGCTGGCTTTGGCCCTTCCAAGCGCCACAGATAAAGTGACTCCTGTGACAACTTAAAGGCAAGAACTCTGCAGGCCAGGTGCCTCACACAGGGCTTGGCACCCAGGTGATGAATAAGTAAGTGTTGGCTGAATTGAATACCTTCCAATCAAAGTCATTTGAAATGTGCCATTCATATTCTACAAAATGGCTTGAACTATTTAGAATGTCAAAACAGGAAAGGGCATGTAGCAAGTTAAGGAAATTAAAGAGAAATTGGGTATAAATGGAGTATTAAATCTTTGAAATTTAAAATAAAGAACCTGGTTATATATCCTTGAAGTCCTCTTCCCTGGCTTAGCAGGAAAGTGGGAGGGAGGAGCTTTGGGGATAGAAGAAGCCTGTGCTTCAATAATGTAACAGCTCTCATTTGTGTTTTACCTATCTGCTGCAGGCATACTGATCCCAACACGCTGCCCAGTAATTTTTTAAAGGCTGACTTCATCTTACATCATTCTTTAATGACCCTTACACTTTTCAGCATGCACCAAACGTAGCTCAGAAACAAAAACAGGTTTTTCTACCACTTTAAACGATAAAGTGGGTCCCTTGTAACAAGCTGGGCATGTATTCTTGGCGTTGAATCTAATGAAGTATTTGACTCATTTCACATCCAACGAAACGCTGTGTCTGGCCTGCCTGTAACTTCCAGGCAGCCTCTGAAGAGCTCATGCATAATACTGGTTCTCCCACAATTCCTAAGAATTTAATGAGTAACCCGTTAATCTGTGATGTGGCATGACCCAAACCGAGGGCAGGCAGAGAATCTCCTCTGAAGACCTGTGTGGGAAGCGGCGCGATGCTGAGCGGGGTCAGGACTCGGCCCTTCATAGAATGACGAAGCAGGACTGTGCTCCACGGCCACAGGAGGACGTAACTCAGTTGACACCCTCTCCCAGCTTCTCTTCCGAAGCACCTCTGTAAAATGGTGCCCCCACCATATAGCTGTGGAGCCGATTCTGTGAGGCTGCTGGGTCTTTGCTTTAAGAACAGTGTGAGAGGAAGTCCAGTCCCTCTAGGGACTAGAAGTAGCAGAAAAACAGACCTAAGGCAACAGTGTGTCTGCTACAACAGGTTCTCAAAAAACGCGTTAAACTGATATATGTGACCTACACAAGAGCACAACGTGCCTGCGTGCTTAGTCTTGTGCTCCTCTTTGAGACCCTTTGGACTGCAGCCTGCCAGGCTCCTCTGTTCATGGGGTTTTCCAGGAAAGAATACTGGAGCAGATTGCCATTTCCTTCTCTAGGGGATCTTCCCTACTGGGATTGAACCTACATCTCCTGCACTGCCGGCAGATTCTTTACCCCCCAAGCCATCGGGGAAGCCTTATTCCCCTCTCTCTCTCTATCTCTAGACATCCATACTGGACAGTTGAGGTTTAAAAAATGCCTCCTATTCCGGGTGTCCCAAAAAAAGCCTTAGTAAAATTTTAAGTCATTCAGGCTGGGGATAAGGGTGGTGGGCTGAATATGCCTTCTGCAACCCCTATGGAGGCAGCTATACATGGTTTTATCACCAGTTAAAAGTGCAGCCTAGATTAAGAGGCATTTTAAAGGACTAATTAGTCAACCCTTGCTAAAGTAAATTAAGGGCCCCAGTTGAAACAGCCAAAAGGAAACTCTAACACAGCTTTGTAGCAACAGTGCTTGGAGTGTATTCAAATAGAAAAGCTTGGGCTGGAAATACTTGTTTAGAAAAAGAACTACATCACTCCACCCTCTTTTATCAAGTAATCCAAGCCATCTTAAATGCACAAGGTCTGATCAAGCAAGAGGTATTAAAACTTCTTTCAGCCTGAGCTAGATCATGTCTTTGGAAATAAACAAATTTTATTCAATGAACAAGTAGAAGGGATTCTTGATTACTACAATAGTTCTTTTGTGTAGACAGACTGCTTCTAGGTTAATGCAAAAGCTCAGGAAAGAACATCAGATCAGGTAAAACGCTTTTTATTCAGAAGCAACGCAAAGTCTGACAGGGACACAAGTAGGGATAATTATTAGCTCATTACCTTAGCTCATTGACCTTCAGCACCTATTTGAAGCACTAGTTTTCCAAGTGGGAATGTTACACCCACTAGACTCTCAGCAGTTTCTGACAGCCATATTTATTCCCATTTCACTCAGCAGAGCTGTCAGGGGATGAGCAGAGACACAAAGAAGAAAATCATCTACTTTAGTTCTCTTCTTCATGGGTCACAGGCTTTCAAATCAAGAGAGATAGACAGCATTATTGGCAGGTATTGGTCATAAATAACACCTTCCCATAGTCGAACACTCAAAAATCAAACACCAAATATAACTAGTTTTTAAATATCCAGTTAATGCTATGCCATACTTTGTTTCAGAAACAGCATTTCTGTGGCCTTTTATTTCCCTTTCTCCTTGGATAAAACCAAGAGAACCCATGCTTAATTGACCTATGTAGTTTTCGCAGTTATAGCTTAATTTATAAGAATCAAAGGAATTATAGTTATAATTAAGAATACATTTTAAAATGACAAAATATGAATAAAATCTACACAGTTGTTAGGAAAATGGATAAAATGAATCAGGTTTCATGAGTGGAAGGGGACTCCCTTTAAGGACATAGTACATAGAAAATACATGGAGCTTGTTTCTATGAGGTTACAAACAGCTAAAATAGAAAACAATGGTTCATTTCAAGCTTACTGATACATAACTGTTAAGGTAAGAGATAGTCAAGATATTCTGCACATTATTAACTGAGAGTCGTCTACATACTCTCTATGTTAAATATCTAGAGAAAATTCCACGACTTTTTGGCTCAGGGCTCTACTAGACAATCACTGCTTTTTAGTATATGAAGAGAATCCAAAAGATCAAGTTAAAGCGAAGATTTAATTTTTAGGTCCTGGATTTTCAGTATAGGAACTATCTACACTTTAAAAAAAATATCAATAAGAAATCAATACTTTTTCTTAAAATTTGATAGCTTTTTTTAAAAAAAAGTAGCAGCCCCTAAAAAACCGAAAACTAAATTCAAACCCCAGCTTCAGTATATGACTACTGATTTTATAAACATCTTCCTCCAGGAAATGTCAAAAATCATAACGTGAAGTTGGGTTGGAAACGCAGTAGATTGCTTAGTAAAAATGTGAGAACCTCAGATCATATACGGGATATATATCTGGGGGTAGAAAAGACAAACATTGCTAGTGTTCTAGTTTCGCCAACAAGCTGACATTTATCGCTGTTTTTAAAATAAAGACAATTTTAACTTAAGAGATTGTATTTAACACAGAATCAATATAAATGTACTTATCTAAAAATCATATTTAACCACATACTTTAAAAATCCACAAAAACGTAGTGAAAAGGTTATATATTTTATATGAAGCTGTATTAATGTGTTAGAGGCAGCAGAGACCCAGGGTCCCCTTCAGCAGTGGACCTTCACAGACAGGCCTCCTGCTGCGGCCCGCAGAGGCTTTCAGCTGTGTACAGAAGGTCTCAGAGCAGGAAGAGACAAGACTTGTTTTTTTTTGCCTCTACAAACTGGGATGTCATTATTGTACAGAAGATGCATAATTTAAAAGACTACTCATTCAAAATGTTACAGAGTGGCAAACTTACTTTACGAAATTTAAACAAAGTGTTCACTCTGAGGAAGCTGCACATACACTATGGTAGTAGAACCAGACTAGGTAAACTTCAGAGTTGAAACGATTTTCACTAAAAATGAAAAAATGGTAGCTTTCTTAAAACCAGAGTTACAGAGTCACTCTTGAATTTTTTATCTTGTTTTAATGAGTCAAGCTTCAGTTAACTCACTCAGATGAGAATCTATAATTCTGTTGACTGTTCTGGGCTACAGAAGTCATCTTGGGACTTCCTATGGAAATATGTACAGATTTTTCGCATGGAGCTGGGAGTAATGGTGACCTAAAAGAAGAAAGTTCAGATTTTAGAGATTTTCTAAGATAAAGTTCGGATATTACCTCGGCAAGTTATCACTATGGGTATTCTAAGTCAGGGTGCCTGGAAATGTGCTTACGTAGCCGGGTTTCAGTCTCAGTTCCTTTGTCGGCAATGTCTCTTTTGGTTGATTTGTACTAAATACAGAAAAACTAAAGGCAGCATGCATGAAAGGAAAACATAGATTTTTCATGTGAGTGGAAAATATTTACCAGTTAAGCCTCATAATAGGAACCAAAGAGGTTACAATTACCATTCTCTTTGAAATAAATGAGTAAATAACCCTTCCAAATTTACAAACAAGATAGGTATTTCAAATGGCAGATACTACCCTTTTCTGAAGTCTTTATCAACATGTACATAAAGAAAAAAATGTTTTGTTTGTTTACTTATTTTTTAGATTAGCTTTTATTAGCAGTATAGTTGATTTATAATGTGTTAGTTTCCGCTCTACAGCAAAGAGAACCAGTTAAATGTATACATATATCCATTCAGTTTTGGATTATTCTCCCATATAGATCAGTACAGAGTACTGAGTAGAGTTTCCTGGGCTATACAGCAGGTTGTAAAAGACTTAACAGCCCAGGGACTACAGTTTTGCCCCCTGATTTATGCATCCAGAAGCAATGTATCTCTGTTGTGTCCATAAATGTTTAAACATGCTCATATCTAACCTTCATTTTAAAAGTCATTACTTGATCCTGCCATCTTCCCTAAATATTGACTTATTTTTCCCTACCCGTATCTTCAATCTTTTTTTTTTAATTTTTTATTAGTTGGAAGCTAATTACTTTACAATATTGTAGTGGGTTTTGTCATACACTGACATGAATCAGCCATGGAGTTACATGTATTCCCCATCCCGATCCCCCCTCCCACCTCCCTCTCCACCAAGAAACTTTAGCTTCAAAAGATTAAATTATAAAGCTAGAAATATCTTAGATGAGCAGACTATTTTTTAAAATGCCCTTAAGATGTACACATTCATGAAAATAATTTTTGATTGAAACTGTTTTCCTGCTAACACATAACTCAGACCAGCTCCCTTGAAAAAAAATAGAATTTTGGCTAGGGGCAAAGATTACCTACGGTGCGAATTTTGAGAGAAGAAAGACTCCTTACAGCCTTTTTTCCCCCTTTATACTCTATAGCAAGGCCTTGGAGTTTGTGTTTGAAGTACTCTTTAAAATATTTCTAGTTTATCTTTCCTAAAATTAGGGGATAAGCTTATTGACAGTAGGAGGGGGTTATGAACATCTGTTAAATTTGTACTGGGCTAAGGTTATCCAATCTCTGCCCTTTATAAGGGCAGTTCTTACTGGTTATGATACCTAGATCACGTTTCATTCTTCCACCTTTTCCCTAACACAGAAAGAGCTACGGGAGAAACCTCCTTAATCTGCCTCCATCCTTAACTTGCAACCTGAGTAGCAGAAGCTTTCTATTCTCTTTGACTGGTACCCGCAGCTCACCCAATGCTCACAGCTACTTCTGCCTCCATCATCATGAGTCACTTGCTTTTCAAGGTTCACAAAGCTATTTCTGCCAGCAATATCTGTTTTTTAAATTATCTAAGTTAAATGAAAAGATAGGTAAAATTAAGATGTTTTAAAAAAGGCAGATACAGGTGAATTGCCAAAAATACAGTGTGAGCAAGATGATCATAAAAGACTGGGAAAAAATCATATAACTCTAGAAGGATTCTGCACCTAAAACTACTTTATAAGTATCTTAATTTTGCTTTATTTTAAATAATCATAAGCTGTAATTACAAACTGAAAATCTATTTGTGGATGTTGGCAACTTGTCCATGAATTATAGCTGTCTCTATAAAAAGGGGAGGGAAATCTATAAAAAGAGGTTTCAGGAGCTGGGGGGTGGTGAGGCAAATTTTTAAAAAGCAAGGGGTTGTGGGAGGGAATAATGTCAAACAAAGAAGGAAGTTATTTTTGAATTGATATCTTAGAGGACGAAGGTGGCTTTGAAGAATTAGGCAAAGGGGCTGAGGGGTATGGACTTTGACAGAAGGGGTTTAAATTGGAGTAAATAGGATTGTCAAAGAAAATACAGGACACAGGCAGTTACATTTGAAATTCAAGCAACAAATAACATTGCAGTATGAAAAATTTTTAGTATAAGTATGTCCCATGCAATATTTGTCCTATATTTTTATGTACTAAACCTGGTGATCCTAGGAATAAATAGATTTACTAAAAAAAAAAAGCATTCTGACTTCTGAGAAGGCATCTGTGCCTGCCCTGGCCAAGTTAGGAAATGCATTTTCTATCGCTGCCAACTTACCGGGCCTGGAGAAGTCTTTCCACTCTGTCTCCTGGGATTGGGGGTCTGGGACGATGGACTTCGTGGAGATGAATTCTCCGCCTTCCGTTTGGCTGCCATGGCCAATAACCAGTTTTTATTCTCTGGGGAGCTATTCTCTTTGCCTACCACTTCAGAGCCTTCTCCACAAGATCCCAAAGGAAGAGGTAGCGTTCCACAGCCTTCTGAAGCATAAGGACTGGCAGGAGAAGGAGGCTCAGAGACACTCATACTAGCTCCTTCGATCTTGCTCGGTTTGGTAGGACCTAGCGAGTCCTTACCAAGGTCTTCCTGGGTACCAGCAAGGCAGCACAGATCCAAATGAAGCTTTTCAACAGGGTCATCAAGTTCAGTCACACAGCTGCAACTCTTTACACACTTTTGTTTCACATTCTCCAGACAACTGGAGTCTAGCCTCCTTTTTACTCTATTTCTAGACTCAGAGCAAGCCACTGCCTGGGATGATTTCAGGCTCACAGGTATGAGGGCTTTTCTGGGAGACGCGATCTTGGTTTCGGAAGCAGGCGGAGTGATGGGTGGTGATAAGGAAGCCGTTCGGGTCATCCAGTTTCTAATGGACATCTTGAAAGATGAGGGTGGCTTGGGAGAGACAGAGGACATGGAGCCTCTTCTGCTGATGGGAGACCGGGCCTTGGCAGGAGGGGTCTTGAGAGAGAAGGTGGGAGTATTTGAAGGGAGGGGCAGGTCTCCGGCGCAGCTCGGGGCACAGGCTGCTGAGGACGGGGAGGAGGTGCATGGGCTGCTCTTTACTCTGGGTGCTTTGGCCGGAGTGTTCTGGCTGCTGGGCACTGCCACTGAGAAGCAAAGAGGTCACAAAAATCAGAGGTGAAAGCTACAGAATACCCTGGAGTTCTCATCAAAGAAAATTATTCCCACAGCTATCTTAATCATCCAGGACTTGATTTCCCAGTGTAGATCACATAAATCATTTGATTCTTCTCAGACCCTTTTTAGCATTTTTCTCCCATTTCCTAACTGTCAACCCCCAAAACACCCTGTTGTAAAACATATGCTTGTAAATATCTAGAAAATACAGAAAAAGAAAAATTTTTAAGTATCCAGGTGGACCATTTTTTATACTTATGCATGATATCTCAAGCTTTTCTATACAAAAATGGGACCATGATGTACAAGATACTTAGTAACCTGCTTCTTAATGTATCATGAACATTTCCCACAGTGACATTGACCTGTACCATTTTTAATAGCTACAAAGTATTCTATTCTAAGGTAACAGTAAGACATCAAGAGTTGTTAATGAATGACACTTTGTTTTCTGTAAGTAGCACTGCTCTGAGTATTTCTGTGATGCTTCTCAGCAATGCTGGGCCAGAGAGGCACTGCATGTCAGGAGTGCACAGGTCTCCAATCCAGCACAATCACTTACTATGTCACTTGGGTACAACTGTTGGGTACAAATTTTTGGCCTCAATTTTCACATCTATTAAATGGAGACAGCTTTTAATCTCCACATAAAGTAATCCCATCAATTACTTGTTATCAGGCCTCGTGTGCCTTACACCTTAATATACAATTTATGATTTTCCACAAGCCAAAGAATGCCAAAGAACGTTTCCAAAATGTGATGCAAAACAAATCAAACTGTGGGTAGAACTCTTCTCCATCTGTCCTGCCCCTTGTTTCCAGGCCATGACTAGTACTTCAGGCAAATTCTCATAAACCATGTTTCTTCCTCCTGAGGACCCGACCCAGACATTATATATTTTCTCACTCTCCTTCTGAGCTTTCCAGATTTCTGAAATAGGGTTCCTGTCTTCAAATAACAAGGAAAGGGCATTTATTTCTCAGTTACCCAGTCTTCGAATTACAACTCTGATGTTTAATTCATTTTAACTAGTTGTATTTATATGCAAATAGACACAAGTCCTAACTCTGGTCCGTTAGTTTTCCTGTACATTTTACCTTCTGCTTTTCTCTACTCAAACAGCCTAGCTTTGAGACAGAGAAGTTCTACAAACTGACTTTTGTCTAAACTTTTCTCATCAACAGTATGTTTACAAAGTGATACGGCTTCTTCGACACAGCTCACCGCTGGAAAGCCCCATGTCATCCTAACAAACTGCAGCAGGGAGTTAACGATTAGGACCTGTCCACGCAGCGTCTGGTGGTGGCTCTCACGCTCACGTTCTAGAGCCTGAGTACGGTTACTATTTCCAGAGAAAAGAAACGCTCATTTGCTTCACTCTTCAGTGCAGGTTCACAGTCAATGCACAGCCCCTAACGTTATCAGTTCCATTAAATTGAGCTGAAGAGTATGTCTAGGGCACAAAGTCCTAAAATACCATGAGTCTTACGGCATGCAGATTCTAAGGCAGGATTCAGGGAGAAGGAAAAGTTGGGACAGGGACACACCAAATATGTTTCTGGCACTTCAGTGGCAGAAATATGAAGTGTCTACTAAAGGTCAATGGAAAATCTGATATGTGAAAAACTGTATCCTCTCCAGGATGTTATCATTCAATTTTCTTCTCTTTTTCTTTCTTTCCTCCTCTGAACAGCTACAGAGGGGAATAAGATAAAAAGTACAAGGTCCTCTTTTCAACCATCTCATTTCACTCTTATGCTCCTGTGTATTCCACTAGTTTCTATGTACCTATTAGCACTCACAAAGGCATATGTATATCATACTTAAAAAAAGATTACACACACATACACATTCTGCAATTTTCTCTTTTTTTCTGAACATCCTATCTTTTTCTCTTTACACCTCTTCATAGAAGTACACTTAGATGCAATACAATCTTTTTAACAGCTGTATATAAGTCACTACCTTGACCTTTACACTTAAAAGACAACATGCCGTTAGTAGTTCATTCCCAGCTCCTATGGACCCTAAGTGCTGCATGATATCTGATGACATGGTGGCACAGACTGGGCTACTGCCCTAAAAGCTTAATGAAAGTAGGTTCCTTTGAGGAATTACAGAGTTTACTAATTATCAGTCCATTTGTAGCTTCTTTCTTTAGAAGGGTTTGCCATCTGGCCTCCCCCTTCCTTCTCTGTCTGATCACAGGCTCTGCCCCCTGAGGATCCTGTTACAGGAGACGACGTGCAGCTTCCTGAAAAAGCTGTGTGCACTGTAACATCTCTCTGTTCACGTGGTTTTCCTGCCAAGTCTACTCCTTCTTTTCCAGGCAAAAACTCTCATGTTTTCCAGGCTCTGATGACAGTGTTATTAACTCCTTTGTGAAGATTTCACAAACGTCCTTCCTCCTCTCCCATAGGAAGCAAGTTCTCAAAGCCTTTTGTTTACATAGCTGGGTGAAATGTTTACAATATACTATAGTTTTTGTAGCTCTGCCTCCTGGATTAGACTACGAGCATCCAGAGGGCAAGTGATAATGATTTATTCACTTTTAGGTCTAGTGCCACTGTAGTTCCTAGCAAGGAATTATTATTAAACAATGTTTGTTAAATTTCATTACTGCTGACAGGATGAGGGTCAAGTTCCAGGCATCAAAGAACAGATTCTGTAAGTACTGTGTTTGACTTACAAGTCTACAGCAAGCACTTGAGATAGAACAGCTAACATTTCCTTCTTTTTAAGATAATCGTCTTTTCACTCAGTGATACCTAGACCAGAGGTTCTCAATATGGCTGCATATTGGACTCATTTGGAGCTTTATGATAATACAGGTACTTGGTCCCTACCCTAGGTGTATTTAACAATTTCTCGAGGCATTCAAATTGTTTAAAAGCTCCACAAGTGGTTCTGATGCACAGACAGGACAGAGAACCCCTTGGCCTGACAGTGCTGAGATCACTGGCTGAAACAGTGAAGGAATAGCAAGTCATGGAGCAGGTGCTGACTGGGAAAAGTAGGACAGAAGGGAACGGGGCTGTGTGTTGTGATTTACAGCCTGCCAGTTAGTAAGTTAAAAGGGCCAAAAGAGAAGACAGGCAATCCAGGACAGCAGTGAAGGGTTGGGGTGACAATTAGAAGCTTGGGCAAGCAGAGGAATGTAATTTTCAAAATGGCAGTGTGATTAGCAACAGCCAATTGGCTGGGAATTGGCTTAAAGAGCTGAATGGCCAGTGCACCAGCCTTTGGTCCCTGTGTCAAGCTGTTGCTCTCTGGTGCTCTTCAGAGTAACTCTAGCATTACCCAGAAGCAGAGAAATCTAGGTCTAATTCCTGGACCAGTCTTCCATCTAAACTCTCGTGCTGGGTTCTAAAGGAGGCGGTACTACAGGCAAGAGCTTTAGAATCAGACCGCAAGGGTTTGAACTGGTTCTACTGTAACTTCACAGCTGGGTGACTTTGACCAAATCTAAGCTCCTTGAGCTTCAGGTTTGGTTGTTTGGGGAATTACTAATAAATGAGATAATACAAGTAGGTCTTTAGAACAACTATGCTAATACTTAATAATGGCTAAATGTTATTAACATGGCACAAATTTGGTCAACATATGTAACTTTTTTGTGACTTCATTTCTAAAACTAAGAATAATTAATGACACACTAGAAATACCCAGTTAAAAGAAAACATATTTTTCTTCAAAAATGTTTATAGTCATTAACACAGAGATTTCACCTCTGGGAATCTATTTTAATGAGAAATGAAGACCCTAAATTTAGAACCCCGCCCCAGACACTGGAAATAAAATGTTTAACTACAAGAGAAAAGCTAGGTAAACTATGGAACATTTAAATGTTTTGCTAAAAAGATAAAAAGGAAAGTGCTTAGAATATCATGTTTAGTGAAAAAATCTTCAAGAAATCCAAATGTACATGTAACATGGCTCTGTTAATGAGAAAATCTCTATGGATAAAGGGGTAAAAATCTAAAAAATAAGTCAAAATGTTAACTAAAATTGTGTATGAGTGTTGGGGAGGCTGATGACTTTTTCCTTATATAATTCTTTTATTTTTTTCAAAATTAGGAGGCAAAATTAAAGACAAGAACATCCCATGTTCATGAATCAGAAGAAAACATTGTTAAGATGGCAATACTCCCAAAACTGATCTATAGATTCAGTGCAATCCCTAACAGAATCCCAGCGGATTATTTCTGCAGAAATTGACAAGCTGGTCCTAAAGTTTGTATAGAAATGTAAGACCCAGAATAGTCCAACAATCTTAAAATTTAAAAGAAGACAACTGGAGGGCTCAGACTTTCTGATTTTAAAACCTACTACAAGGTACAGTAATCGAGACAATGTGGTAACCGCATAAGGACAGACTTACAGATCAATGGAATGGAATTGAGACTCCAGAAATGAACCATTGATGGTCAGTTGATTTTTGACAAGAGTGCCGAAAAAATTCAATGGGGTAAAGAACAGTCTCTTTGAAAAATGATACTGAGAATGTGGGCTATCCACATGCAAAAGAATTTGGACCCTTATCTATCTCATACCATACACAAAAATAAACGCAAAATCAACTGTAGCCCCAAAACTAAAACACTCCTACAAGAAAATACAGATGTAAAATACAGATCTTTGTGACTTTGGATTAGGCAATGATTTCTTAGATACAACATCAAAAGCACAAATTACAAAAAGAAAAAAACAGATAAACAGGTCTTCATCAAAATTAGAACATTTTGCGTGTCAAAGGACATCATCAAGAACATGAAAAAACAACTTACAGAATAAGAGAAAACATTTATAAATCATTATATATAAGACAAGGGACTTATATCCAGAATATATAAAACTCAACAATAAAAACAATAGACAAATAACCCAATTAAAATGTGGGCTAAGGATTTATTTGCTTAGGCACTTTTCCAGAGAAAATTTACAAATGGCCAATAGGCACATGAAAAGATATTCAACATCATAAACCACCATGAAAATATCAGTACATATCAAAACCACAGTGGGATACCACTTCACACTCAGTAAGATGGCTATAATTAAAAAAAAAGGAATAATAACAAGTGTTGGCAAGGTTATGGAGACACTGGAACCCTTATTTTGGGTCTTGAAAATAGACTAGAATTAGATTATGTTGATGACTGCCCAACTCTGAATATACTGGAGAACACTTGACTGTATAAACAGGTGAATTTGTGGCATGTGAATATATCTTGACATAAGTCTCAAGGGGAAAAAAAAAGTATAGAAAATAAAAAGAAACAACTATTTACCACATAGCTAAATTCTGAATAGAAAATATAACGATAGTAATAATAATAACTCTCAATCTAACCAAAATCATGACTCTCTGTTGGGAAGCTAGGGAAATGTTGAGTGTGAAGAGGTTTGGTAATCATGGGGACATAGGAAACAGCTAAGTGCTCATCTCAGAGTGTAAGATGTCAATAGATAATGCTGAAGCAACAACAAAAAATCCCGAGAGACAGAAATACACAAATATTACTTAGAGATATAGGAATAAGTATCAAGGAATTAGCTAAAAGATTTGAAGTTGTGACCCCTGGGAAAAGGGAACTATGGTAGGATATCTGGAGAATGCTGTTTACCTTATTTAGCCCTGTAGAGTTAGTTGACTAATTGTTAAAGTATCAACACTTAAAAAAATATATTTTTTTTAAAGAAAGCAGAAACCAAAATTAAATGCATCAAACACTTTATAGAAGTAGACTTAGAGTGAAAGACTCCTCTGGAGTTTAGTTACACTTGAGGTATCTTATAAGAGACTAAACAATTAAGTCATTAGAAAAATGAGCATATATTCTTACCCTCAAACCCTCATTACCTTAGGCCTTGACTGCTGACATAAGTTTTAAGCTTGAATTTCAAGCTTATGACCATCTATTGATAACATTTGGATTCCCTCTGGCTGGCTCAGTGCTTAGATTTTTGTTCTCGATTCCCTGTCACTCTCTTTAATTCTACCTGTCAGTTCACAGTTATTTAAAACCCACATTCATAATCTTTTCAATATCCTGGTTTTTCATTTTCTTGACCTTCTTCTTCTACAGTAGCCTTGTCCTTTCACTCATTTATTTCTTGGCCTTATTATTAACAGTATCTCCATTATTACTAAAATCCTCCACTATCTCAATTTCAACCACCACCTATTTTCCCAGTTCTCTTCAGCACTCCAGTGCCAACAATTCTTCATCCCCCGGGGACCCTCAGTTCATTGATCCTACCACTTCTACCCTCAGCCCACTTATAGCCTCACTTCTCTCCTTACCCAGTTTAACTCTGATAGCATATCTATCCTCAACTCCCTTGGCCCTCCACTCACTGCATCATACTTGCAGATTTAAACCACATCCCTGATTAAAACCACCTTTTCCACCTACAGCCTGCCTTACTTGTGCAGCAGACACACAACCATACTGACTGCTCATTTTCAATGAGTGAGTGCTAGCCTCACGTTGATTCTTCGCTCAACAATCATATTTCCCTGGTCCATTTGCTCTCTATTCTCTATGTGACTATTTTAGACTTTTCTCTCCTCAAATCTCTATCACCTCTTCCTCTAATCCTTATTCTCAGTCGATGATCCTGATCCCAATGTCACTAAGAAAACAAAAACTTCCACAAATTCTGACCCTCCCACTTATCCATCTACCTTCACTGTGCCTGTATTTCTTTCTGATCACTGTGGATGAACAATCCACACCCATGACATAGGCCTACTCTTCATCTTTTATATTCGAGGTCATCCCCTCACTCAAGGAAACCGCTCCAGCAAATTTCCCTGCATCAGTTTTCTCCTGGACTAGAGGATCCTTCTAATCACATACAAAATACTATATTCTCACTAAAAACAAACTAACATTGCTTCATCCTCTAACTACCATTTCTTGTCTTCTTTGCTTTCTAGCAAGATTCCTTGAAAAAGCCTCCTCTCTTCCCATCCTCCTAAACAACACTAACCAGGTCACTGACAGGCCACCAAAAACTGTTCTCACCAAGGTTGCTAAATAACCCCGGTACTGCCAAATCCAAAGGTCAGTTTTCAGCCCTCATCTTACTTGGCATGCCAAAAACATTCAACCAAATTGATCCCTCTTCCCTTTCAACCAAATTGATCCCTCTTCCCTTTACTTACTTTATACAATATTCTGTTTTTCTCTTACTTCTCTGGTTGTACATGCTGTTCACCTCTCCAACTTCTAAATATTAGGATGTTCCAAGGCTCAGACCCCAGACTTATTCTCTTTTCCATATATAGCTGCCTTTTACCTATATGATAATAAATCCCAAATTTACAACTCTAGCCCTGAACTGCAGAATCAAACATCTAACCGCCTCTTTGACATCCCCATTTAGATATCTAATAATCATATCAAACAACATATCGAGCTATTCCCTCAAACTGCTCCTCCTGCAGTGATTCCTATAGAGGTTAATGGTTACTACATCCTAGCTTCTCAAACCAAGAACTCTGATGTTAACTCTTCCTTATATCCCACATCTGATCCCATAGAACCTTCTGTTGTCTCCATCATGTAAATATATCCGGAATTTGAAGACTTTTAAAAATTGTATTGTCCGCTACCTCTCTGGTCCAAGTCACCACCACTGTTTCCTAGGTTACTTCAATAAGTTTTTAAATTAACTTCCAGTTTTACCCTGATCCCCTTACAATTTGTTTTCAACACAGAAGTTAGAATGACCAAGAAAAGTCAGATCGTATACTTCTCTATTCAAAACCCTCTAACATTTTTTTGTCTATCAAAATAAAAGCCAAAACTGTACAAGAACCTTATTTTCTACTACTATTTCCTGTCCTCTCTTCTGCCCGCTTTAGCCACAGGGATTACAGCTCCATCAGCCTCTTTGAGGAACACAAAACATGCCAGGTCTGCTCCTGCTTCAGGGGGTTTGCATTTGCTGTTTTGTCCACCAGAAACATTCTCAAAAATATCCTCATGACTTACCACTTTACTACTTCACTTTCTGTACTCAAGCACCATCTTTTCATTGAGGTTTCTATGGGCACCTAATTTAAAATTTTAACAGTATGCTGTTATTCTCCCATTCCTTCTTTCCTTTTTCCCTAATCCATGTATTACTACCTAACAAGCAAATTTTATTTAACTTGTTTACTGACTCAAACTAATATGTAAGCTTCATTTCTGATTCTTGATTCTTTTGATTACTGCAGAATCCACAGCAAATCAGAATAGTGCTTAGGACATAGTAGATGTTCAACTAATATTTAAAGAAATAAATCTACCAGTGTATTCCAGTGCCTTGTGTAGATAGTAAACATAGTGTTCAGAAAATATATATTTAAAAAAATGTCAGTAAGATGGTGCTTTCCTTCAAAAACATACTAAAATAAGATCAAATCTAGCTCATCATTTTGTACTGCAGAACTAACCCAATAAAAACATAAAAGAACTTAGAAAAATGCATGGAATCCTTACCAAGGTCGGCTTTCACCTCTCTCTTCTTTTGAGAGGCCCATCCCACTATGGAGAGTTTATCTCCTCCTGATTTCTCCTCTAAATCTCTATTCAAGCGCCAGACTTTCAGTGTATTGTCATCAGAGCAAGTAGCAATCTACAGAGAACCAGAGAGGGAGTTAGTAAGTTTCAACCAAAGATTCACAACAAAGTAAAAAGTAGATATGTCTTTAAGGGCTCATGACTAGAGAATTATTCTCTCTGATATAGAAAATGCTACCTAAAAGGTCAGATACTTTCATTCTTTGCTTTCGGAAATCATTCCAGATTTCCAAAGAAGTGGATCCTTTCGTTTCTTTATATACACTCTGCGGGTATGACTATTGTAACCAGTGATTTCTCAGCTAACCTAAAGCTCTACTATAAAATCAGGTTCATTTCATTTTATTTTCAAGAAGTTGGGCAAATCATTATCACCTTCTGTATAACTACAAAACATACATAATTATGATGTCATTTTTCTCTTACATGATTAATCAGTGTGATGTCACTGACATTCAATTTATATGACTTTCTTCAGAATTCTTCAAGTTCTGGCTTATTGCAAGTAATGGGATCACTCCCAAGATCTGACTTAGCCCATGACTCTAGTATGCTGTGACAAGTAGAATGAAACCATTCCCTAAGATTCTTTTTCAGATAGGTAAAGGAGCAATCTGGGAAAACAACAAGTTCACTAGCCTGAAAGAAGTTAAAAATAACCTTTGCCCCTTTAAAAATATCTGACCGTTCCTGATCTTGGTCCCAAGCCTTTTATGGCAGAGAAAGTCCAGCTTGAAGAGCTTGTGGCAAATGGCCACTGGTACCAGAGCTGTTCCCTAGCATTTGTTTATATAATTTCTCTATTTCAGTAACTAAAGAGAGAGAAAAAATGAACACACGTTCTCTTAAGACTTGGCCCCCAAGAGGCTGGCAGCTTTTTCCTTTCCTTACTGGGAGGCCAAAAGAAGACACACATATTTAACCGCTCAAAGAGATGCCTGGGATCCCCAGTTGTTCTATAGTCTATTATCTAGTTGTTACTTACAGAGCAACTATTAAGTCTGAGTGTCTGAAAATTAATATTATCTTATTTAATTCTCATAACAGAAAAGCCTGACACTCAAATAACCTCATCGACAAAACAAGAATAAAGTTATTTGCCCAAGGTCACCACAATTCAGTGACAGAGCTAGAATTTATTTATTTTTCAAAATTTAAACTTTTTATCTTGTATTGGGGTATAGCCGATTAACAATGTTGTGACAGTTTCAGGTGAACAGTGAAGGGACTGAGCCATACATATACATGTATCCGTTCTCCCCCAGACTGGCACATAACAATGAACAGAGTTCCATGTCCTATACAGTAGGTCCTTGCTGGTTATCCATTTTGAATATGGCAGTGTGCACATGACCTTCCCGAACTGCCTAACTATCCCTTTCTCCCAGCACAGAGCTAGAATTTAAATCCAAGTTTTTTCAATTTCAAAGTCTAAACCTTTTTTCTTTAAAGTGGGTAATTTACATTCCTAATTCTAGGGTAGGGACAAAATTATTTCAAAGACCCTTTTGAAAAGGCGGTTGTTAAATGAATATGGGAAAACAGCCCTGCTACTTCCTTTGAGTCTTTTCTATGTATAGAGATAAGGACAATATACAATGGATGAAAAAAAATGACATGATTAACTGAGTAATTTGAAAAAAATTCATCTTGAAGTTCTATGAAGATAAAATTCCTTATTAAAAGCAGATATTTCACTGGAAATCACATGGAAACTTAAGAGGGAAAATGTCACTGGGATGTAATTATTGGTGATTAAAGCAATAGTTAAAAAAAAAAAAGTCTATCATGAGTTCATCACAGAAATGGCTATACAGGGATACAGAAATAAAAGCAAATCCATAGTAGTACTTGAAAGCCAGCAGGGATATCCTGAGTAGATCAGACCATGAGAAGATTCTAGAAGATAGAAAAACAGATAGGCACAATAGGCAACAAACCTTCAAGACATAATAGACGAAATGGAGCTCTCCACAGAAGGAACATTTCTGGTAAATCCAAACTAACCCAGAGACCAAAGGTGGGGGGCTGGGAGAGTGAGTGGAACCGGGGACACTATTATATGAAATCCCTATATATATGTGGAATTTATTGTTTCTGGGATTTCTGCCTTTCAGGTTTTTAAAATTTGTTTAAAGTATCACTATTAAAAAATTATTTTAAAGTCAGTATATTTTCTTCTTTTCAGAGTGTCTATAACAGTTTAGAGTTACTTCTTCCATAGTTTAGTCACAGATAGCCAAACATTTTAAGACTTCACAGTAAGCATTTTTCAGGCATGTGAGAATCCAAACTGGTCTGTGAAGAACAGTCAAGCCATTACTTTTAATACACATTAATAATACATACAAAGTCAGAAATACTAGTTTTCTTCACTTCAGATTTTCTTTTCACCTTAATTTTAAGATGAAATTTTACTAACGTTATAAACTTAAATTCTATGTTTAGGAAAGGAATGACTTTAGAGAACTAAGAAATCCACTTGGTAGAAAAAAACAGAATGTGTGATTAATGATGATATAAATCCTGGATGGCCTCTAGATCTTTAAAGGTTTATTTAAACATAAAAGTCTATATTGGGAAAATCTACAAATCTGTGATCTTTTGCACCAGACACAGAGATTCGCTCACAAACCTTTGTGAAGTCTGATGGACACCAGCACACAGATGTGACCTCTTGAGAATGACCCAGGAGCACAGTAGGGGGATGCCAGGGCATGGAGACCTATCACACCATCAAAAACAAACAGGTCAGCAGGGCAGTGTTAGGTCTCCCGGACAGAGGCTTCAAATCCACCCATACCTGCGCCTCAGACAGCTTTAGAGCTGTTACCGAACCTAGACATGCCTGGTTATAGCTCAGAAAGAGACCCAATGGGCAATGAGAGTGTTTCTGTCATTAATCAGAAGGAAACAGAAGGAAAACAGCCAGAATAAGTAAACAGTATGAGGTAAGATGCCAGGACAGGTCTTATTTCAAATCAGGACTACTTAGTTATACGTATTTTGATTAAAATTCAAGACTGAAAGGGTGAGTTTCAGCGGCTAGGTATAACACTTCGAGTGGAACCTAGACTAAATTTTAGATCTTCTCTAGTCAGCTACTTCCAGGAACACTGCACTTATTAAATCTTGAAGGTACTTGAGAAATGGTAGCAGATCTCTTGGGACAAGGGGATAGTCTTTCTTCCAAAAGAACTCACTGACTTCTATGAAAGCCGAACGTTATACTCCTTCATTTTAAAGGGGGAAAAGCTATATTCTACACGGCACTTTGGTATTTTTTTTGGGAAAAAAAATTTCTCTGAAATTTTATTTTCAGTTCATTTGCTTAAAGAAACTGAATTTTCAAGTTAAGTATTGTCACATTTTAATGTACAAAAGAAGGGTCACATTGTGCAGTACTACACAGGTGACTAAGAATGATATTTTCCCCCTCACTGGAAGCTATTAGTGATATGCGTTTGACGGCGGACTCATTCAAGAGCTGTCAATCCCTGTCAGAGGCCATGGGCATTAATCAGCACAACACAAAGAGTACAGACTCACATAGCTATTATTAGCATATGTACTTGAAAAAGAGAAATTATTCTCTTCTCATTTACCTGAGACTCTTAATCGTTGTTCATTCATATGAAGGAGGCAGCACTCTGGGAAGAATGTTTGGAAGAATGACTAAGTAACTAAATGGACTCCTCAGACTGTAGTGAAGAGATCTGACACGCCGATTCATGAGGTATCCAACTCAATTATCACTACTCCTCTCCTGGGTTAAATGGCACACACGTAATGATTCAAAAAGCCAAAGAAGATAAACAGCAGAACCTGATTTGCCTTGCTGGATTAATTAAAGTTTAACAGAAAAGGAGGCTTTTCTCTGAGCTCTAAAACGATCTCACTGGCTGCCTACTCCTACAATCCCACAGAACTCATTCTCTCACAGGGTGGCATATTTTAGAAAAGACTTTCAAGATAGACTCTAATGATCTCAACAGTCATAGAAATTCTCAATGGTCCCAACCTACAAAGTTTCTCTTTATCCAAGACCCAAGAAGGATGGGTAATAGCAAATTAAAAGAGGAAATCCTATGTCCTTCTGACCCTCCAGGGAAACAACGTATTATTTTACTCCATGTATTTACTTGCTTCTTGCTTCTAGCTCATCATCTCATGGTACTGCCCCTTCCTCAGTTTCCGAGACATTACATATACCTAGGAGAACCTGAGTGTCTATATCGAAGATTAAAATAAATGTCAAGAAAAAAAAAGCCCACCAATAGAATGTATGTACATTTCTGCATTTATCTATAGGATTTAAGAGGAAAAAGAAAACAACCCCAAAAGATAGACCTGCTGGAAAAATTTTTTATAATTTGATAATAAGGCAAGAATAAAAATAGTAACAATAAAAGTCAGCATTTATTGAATGATTGCCATGAACCAGGTATCTTACATAGCATTAAAAGTGAGGGTAGGGTTTCTAAAAAGTTAAAAACATAGAATTAGTACCATACGACCCAGCAATTCTACTCTTGGGTATACACTTCCAGGAGAATTGAAGACATATTCAAACAAAAATTTGTACATGAATGTTCATAGTAGCTCTGTTCATAAAGCCAAAAAAGTGGGGACTTCTCTGGTGGCCCAGTGGTTAAGAATCCACCTTCCAATGCAGGGGACATCAGTTTCCTCCCTGGGGGGGAAACTGAGATCCCACATGCTGAAGGACAACCAAGTCCACATGCCACACAGGAGAGAAGTCTGTGAGATGCAACAAACGATCCTGCATGCTGCAACTAAGACCGGATGCAGCCAAATATATAAAGAAATAATTTTTTAAAAAAGCCAAAAAGTGGAAAAGTTTGAATGTCCATCAACTGATAGACAAATAAGGTCTACAATGGAATACAATGGAATATTCCTCCATAAAGAGGAATAAAGTACTGATATAACAAAATGGATAAATTTTATGAAAGCAAAGCCAGACATAAAAGATCATGTCTATATATAATTCCATTTATAGGAAATGTTCAGAATAGGCAGATCTACACAGACAGAATGCAGGTTAGCGGTTGCCAGAAGTTGGGAGAAGGGAGGGATGGAGTGACTCCTAAAGGTTATGGGCTTTCTTTCAGGAGTGATAAAAAATGTCTGGGAATGAGATGAGATGGTTGCACAATACTGTGACTATACCAAAAAAAAAAAAAAAAAATCACCGAACTGTACACTTTAAAATGACTATAATGATGAATTTTACAGTATTCAAATTCTATCTCAATTTAAAAGAAAAAGTGGAGGAAAGGGCATGCTGTAGGCTGTAATAAGAGCTTATGTCCAACAAGTTTTTATGAACGTTAGTAACAAGTGTTTTCACAGTTGAGGACTATTCCAGTGTGGTAAAGTATATTTGATGACTACTCCAAAAAAAATTAATTTCTTCTAATGAAATTCAGGTGACTTAAATCTTTCATTCTTATTCAAACATGTTTTTATTTATTGTCACTTCATTATAATATTCATTATAATAAAAATATTATCACAATGACAGGATTTCACTTTTGAAAACCCCCCTCTACTTTTAAATAGAAAGAGGAGACTGTTAAATCCAAGAGACTTTTTTACATCTACGCACTCTGGGCAAGGTCGAAACACAAAAATTGTCTTCTCTTATAAATTTTAGTTGTTACAGAATAAAGGCTTAACTCAAGGCAGGAGAAATTCCTAAGGTAAAACTCTCAGAACAATGAAGCTACCTTTAGAAGCAATTGGCCCTAACCTACAGACCTCATAAAACATTCTGTATACTTGAACAGGCAAAAAAGATCAGCACCTTCCCTCAAAAAACCTCCTTACTCTGCTCAGTTAGAGACCAAACCTAATCTTCATTTCTGCCATGAGATCATTTACACTTCCTAAAGTGTCAGGCTCAATGTTTCGCCAGTCAGCGGTAGAATGACGGTGCCAAATCAGTTTATTTATAACCACTTCAATACTATTCAGTGGCTCTATCAGAAATGAACCAGGGAAGGGGGGGGGGGGGGCAGGGGTTAGGGTAGGACAAGGGATAGGAAATTTAATAAGAAAAAAACATCATATTAAATCTTTTTATTCTTGGGCTTCAGTGTCCGAAAGCCTAACTAAATTACATCTCCTCTTTGCTGGGCAGTAGTTAGGACTGGAAGGCCATTCATTCTCTTCTGCCTTGACATCTAAAACTCCATTCTTTCACCCTATTTTCTTGTGCCTATGGGCTTTTTTGGCATAGGAAAATCCTTACACCTGAGAGAATTCTGACCTAATGGCCTGACTACTCAGCTTGTGTGCAACTGTTTTTAAATTACACACTACATCCCACCCTCCTTTTCTTACCATGGAAAAGAGAAATTGAGCCACCTCACCAGGCAAATTCAATTTTAGGAGCAGTAAGTTTGCCAAGATCTCAAATATCAGAACCTGCACACTGAGTTATGTGTGGACAGGCAGGAGAACATCATGTCTGAACCACATCACTCAGCACCGACATGTGACCCAGCCTAGAATTCAGAAAGGGTCACCCATGTGTGTGATACCCACTGACTGGATGTTTGAAAATGAGTTACTAATGAACAGCCAAGTATCTTTACTGCTTGTCTTTACCGAGAGGAAGCATCCCTCAACCCAGATTTCCTGGAAAAAAAAAAAAAAAAAGCAAGCCTTTGTACTAGAGCAAAGAGGAACTTTAGAAATTGACAATTAAAAAAAGAGAAACAAAACAAAGCCAGAAAACAAACAAAAGTACTGGCAATAAACTATACATATACACATACACTCACACACACACATAACTATATATATAATTACAAAACTGATTTTGAAATATGATCAGTGCCTAATTGCTTTTTGCATAATCCTTTATTATGCTTTTTGGAATGTTTGAAATTTTATTTTTAAGAAAAAAAAATTTAAAAGATACTGACCTTGGTAGGAATAAAATCCTCTAGCTAAGTTGGGAACCAAAGCAGAAAAAGGAATGTAGGTAAGATAGTGAGGGAAGGAAAAACCAAAAGTAATAAATATGCAGCATAAGACCAGATTATGAAACAGAAACATTAGTGCTAGTCACATAAAGTTTAAAGCTCAAGTAAGAAGAATTTTATAGACAAGTAGTTATGTAAAACTCTTATCATAAGATGAGGGTCTCAAGTATATATTTTATAAGAAAATTTTCATTTAAAATTCACTAGCTGTGTGTGAAGAAAAAGAGGCAAGGTCAACAAAAAAGCATCTTGGATAGAACAATATCTCCACCCTGTGATCATCAAGGTTATTGTTACTAAAGCTTTTGAGAAGGTAGTGTTACTTTTTTACATTTAATCATTTTTTAGTACCTCCCTCAGGACTTGTTGAAATTAAGCTGAAGAATGTCTTATATCTGATAGGATCTACCCCTGTTCTGCATTAAAGATATGACTTCCTGGAAGTTGACAGGACTAAAGATGATACAACTGTTTCCTGAAAAGGGATTTAATAATATTGAACCTACAGGTCTATGAAATTTCAGTCACTATGATTCTAAAATCTAAAATCAATAAACTTTGATCATTTATTTCACCAATGTCTGTGACACTTATTAAATTATAGGGCAATCATTATTTCTAGCCCTAGGAAAACACCTCAATGCTCATTTTCTTTGAACTCAGACATTTCTATAATTAATTATTCCACAAGAGTCATTTTCCAGTGGTTAGCAGGTGCTAGTTGTATTTCAATTTTCTCTGCTTACTTCAAATGAATAGCTTTAAATTTCTTAGCCTATAGTAGCTGCTTTAGAACCACTATTTAAAATGTAAAAACAAAAAAATTACAAATTTGTGTAACAGAAACAGGGAATCTGTAAAATAAATAAATGAATAAATAATGCTATTAAAAAAATACAAAATTGACAAAGCAGCCACATCGATTTTAATAACTTGACAATTAGCCACTTAGAGAGGAGTAAAAAATACAATTATTACATGAATATTTTTGAATGAGTGTTTTGTGCAAGGTTCTATGGGTGATTGGGGTGTAGGATTCTAGGATCCAAATACTGTACTGTATTACTGTACCAAATTAATACAAAATTGTATGAGTCTGAAAACACAGGGCAGTAAGGCAGTACAGCATGTTTTTCCAAGAAGCAGGACAAAGTAAGTCTTTCCCGTCTTCTGAATTCTCAGCTCCCTCATGATCTGAAAGTCTGCTGAAGGATGTGGATTTCGATTTCTGAGAAGCGTACCGTGGAAGTGTGATATATTTGGTCACAGTCAGAGTGAAGTTTTGGCTGTATTAAGAGGCAAAAAGCAATTTTTACTAAACATCTGATATAGAAACACTAAAGTTTGGTAACTTACCTTCCAGATGTAGGCAGCTTCATCACTTGAGCCACTGACTAAAAACTGGTCATCTGGACTAATACTGGATTTAACATAAAAGGTAGAGTTCTGATGTCCATTGAAGACAGCCACTGCCAGAAGGAAAAAAATCAAATTACTTGGTTTTTTTTTATTTCCAGTTTTCAAATAAATGCAGACAGTATACATATCCTAATAAGTTTTACTAATGTGTTGACTAATGAAGCAGATGGTCAAGCAAGTCAGCAAATAAAAAAGAACTGGACACTGGCAGAAAAAGAAAGGAAATCCTGGGAAGGCTTTGTATTAAGACCCAATCTCATGATCTAAGCCCAAATACTTGGTATGGAGTTAGCTATAGAGAAGAAAGTGACAAAAAATATTATTAAAGGAAGAACAGAGTCGGTGTCTAATCCTTTAGTAAAAATGTCTTTGTTAGACCCTCTCTTTTCACCCAAGGCTAGGTTTTTTTTCCATTGCACTAAACATTGGTCTTTCTTCCTCTTAAACTTCAAATCTCTTAAGGATATATTTCACAAATATATTTTTCTTTCCTCACTAGACTTCAGACTTCATAATGCTTTGAACAGAGGAAATCTTCAAACATTTGTTGTACGAATGGGTAAAAAATCAGTGAAAGGAGAGTTAAGATTTACGGATAGTCTACCTGAGACGCGGTAACCTTTAAACACAACTTTAGGTAGGCTGATGAGTAGACGTGGCCAATGAGGTAAACTATATGTGCATACGTAAGAGAACCCAGCTAGGTTAGGGTAGACCTCTCAATATCCAGTCTACCATACTGTGCTTGATATGTTAATTCCATCCTAAGGAGACCAAAACCTGAGGCCTCAGGCATCAGAACTCTACCAGGAAATAAAAGAAAAAATATCTTGGTCATTGGAAAATTTAAGGATACATTCAGGAAGGAAAAAATACTTCACTGCAATCTTCTAATGGAGGGGGAAAAAAGAATTATTATTGGAAGGACTGATGTTGAAGCTGAAACTCCAATATTTTAGCCACCTGATGTGAAGAGATGACTCTTGGAAAAGACCCTGATGTTGGGAAAGATTGAAGGCAGGAGAAGGGGACGACAGAGGATGAGATGGTTAGATGGCATCACTGACTCAATGGACGTGAGTCTGGGTAAGTTCTGGGAGTTGGTGATGGACAGGAGGCCTGGCGTGCTGTGGTTCAAGGGGTCGAAAAGAGTCGGACACGACTGAGTGACTGAACTGAACTAACAGCTTTCCTTAAGTACTCACAAAAATCTCTTCCTTTTGCTAGAATAAAAAATTAGATTAAAAAAACAAAGTTTGTATTTAAAGCTCTTCAAGAAAAACCCTGCATGTCAAATACACTGTCACATCAAATACTGCAACTGTTAAAGTTAAGCAAGACATGAATCAATTCAGATACACGTATAATAGTTACTATGACAGATAAATCCTCACAAAATAGACAGGATCCTTTATTCTGAATATAATTCCAAAACTAAAATTGTTCATCTTTCTCAGCTCTTGGCTATGAATGGAAAACTACAGACCAAATTTTCCACTAAACTCATAAGTATTTATTGCCCTCTGCTGGTCTAAGAAAGTCAACATAAAATTCACAGTAAATGCTTAACCCATGTGAAAAAAATCCTTCTAAACCTATAGTGCTTTAATTAGTTTAATTGTTGACAATTTGGGCTCTTAAAATGCTTCATTAAGATGCTTCAGAGTAGTCCTTATAAACATCACTTCATATAATAAAATGCTGTGAATTAAAAGGTACAGAAGATCAAGTACTGAGTTCAGGACCTTAAGTTTTGAAAAAGACAAGCAATTACTAGATCTCTATTTCTCTCTCACCACACACATCTGTCGATTTCTGAGAAACATACGTTATCTGCCAACCTATATCTATATATGAGAGCCAATCAAACAATTTCAGGAGCACAGAGAAAAGGTTACCTAATTATTAGTTAAGTGGCCTTGGGCATATTTGTTTGATGGCAGAAGAACAACTAAATTTAAGGCCCCTTTTGGTGTCACACATTACAAGATGATATAGGAAAAGCTCTTGGACATTTGGTAATATAATTAGGCTTTCATCTTCTAGGGAAAAATTTTGAAGAGTTTGTTTTATATGACTAAATAAATCAGTTGTTGTTCAAGTTCTAATTTCAATCAAGAAGACAGCAAGCAAAGTTATAAAACCTCTTTCCTTTTCCAAACATTCTTACTCTTGTTTAGACAACATCAGACCTAATGCAGGGCATTAAAAATGCCACGTATGATACTGTCATAGGTATTGAAGTCCTAATAATGGCTTGGGGTCAGTCTTAGGAAACCTCTGTAAATACCCAGCTAAATTCTGCACTATTGCAAGATTTCTTTTTTATCAATGTATCTTACTTTAGTGGGAACTGGGTAGCTCTAGGGATTGGTGATAGAATTCAAAGTCTTTTTCTGACAGTTATACATGAGAAATAGGTAGGTTACAAGTATGTAGCTTGCTTAAACAATTGATAATGTCCTTAAAATGATGTAACTCTAACCCTCTTGAGAGTATGCTTGAGAAACTAATTTTTTTAAATGTCATTAGCTTTATATATTCCACTTATAAATATATGTAATATATATAAAGATAAAATATATAAGCTTTTTATAGTCCACTTATAAATTATATATTCCACTTATAATTTTCTTAAAGGAAAAAAAAAGTGAGATTAGGGAAACATCCAGAAATAAAATAGCCTCTGTCCAACATTAAGGAGAAGGCTGAGGTAGGTAGGAACTATTTTGAGGGCTTAAAACTAAGCCCCCTAATTTTAACAAATAACCCACACACAGGACAAAAGCTGAACAGAACATCTTTCTCTATCCCACAAATATTGAAATAATCCTAAGTATACCTAAAGGGGCATAATTTCGGGAAAGACTTACTATTAAAATTAAGCCACCACAGGGAGCAGGATTCTGTTCACTTGTGAAATCATCACAAGGTTAGAACATCTATGAATCACTGGAGCTAATCAAAGACCCCAAAGCCCCTATATGTCTTCATAAATTCAGTACAGAAAAAACAAACAACATTAAATTATCATTAATGAAAAAAAATCCATATTATTTTCCAGGAAATAATCTGAATGACTAAGATCCTACCTGGAGAAGTCTTTAATCCAGTCATATTGAACATGTAGATGTTGTCATCTGTGCAGTTAGCAAATAAAGTGGAGCCAGTAGAATCCAAAATCAGACTTGAGTATCCTGGAAAAAGGAATTGAGTTAGCAAGTGCTGATGACAGAGCACTGGAGGTGAAAATGATCTTTTTAGATCATGTCATAAGAAGTATCATCAGAATTCTTATTCCCCCAAATTTCTACAAACCAAAATTATTCTTCTGAGTTTTTTAACTTCAAAAGGATACTTTCATATACTAGTTTCTCAAGTCAACTGAGAATAACAGTTGCTGAAAACTAGCTTGATATTTAAAATTTTGACAAAACTTACATATCCAAAAAAGCCCTACAAAAGAGTCCTACAGAATACAAAGGCTTACCTAGTTTTCGAGTGCTGCTACCTGGGTACAGGAAAGACTTGGATGCTATGGGTTCCTGTCGATAAGCGGTATAATTCTTACGTAAATCCCATATTTTGATTATGCTAAAAATCAAGGTGAAGACATAGTTTATTTTGTAGTCCTTTTCCAACACCAATCAGTTTCAACTACGTTTGAATGTGAAATGACTTTAATTTAACTCCTCTGGCACATGAACCAGCTACAGTGAGGATATTTCATTGGGAAACAGATTGAACTATCTCATACTCTTGTCTCCAATGTCAGGCTAACAATTCTAGCAGAACGGAAACAGATGTGTTCTGACCCACAGATGGGTTGCCCTGAGTTTACTTCAAGAGAGCGGAAAAGGAAGATGAAGGTTGAGTGCTGATAGTCATTGTTTCTTTGTTTTTAGGAAAAAAAAAAACACTTCCTAAGCCGTTAACATTCTGCATGTAACCTTTGACATCATTAAGTACAAAACTGTGTTCCTATGGTTATACCTCTATACATTAACTCTTTAAGAAATCTAGTCTAAACAACTTTTCCTGTGAAGTAAGAGTATTTTTACATTTCAACTACTGGGATAATTTTCCTAATTTTCAAGATCTACTTTGTAGACAACTTGAAAACACAAGCATGGTGATAAAAGGGCAGTATTCCTTGGAAAGAAAGCTTTCACAAAGAAAGCCATTTACAAATATAACTAATAACCTTTAGATAATCCTTCATTTGTGCCTGAAAATTTGGTCCACAGAAGAGTTTTAGTGTTTAGAGAACACAACAGAAATCTTAAGTTTATTAAGCCATCATATTTTTAAATTGAACTTTTTGAAGGGAGGGATATCTTGGGAGATATAATGGGCAAAAAGGGGGCAAAGAAGAATATTTTAAAAAGAAAGAGTTCCTATAATTCCAACAAAGTAAAAAATCAATTAGTATCACAAACTTATATGGAAGCCAAAAATTTAGACCAATCATGAATGGAAAGTATGTGAAAGTCCTTAGGCCTTAACATGAATCTAGTTAGAGTACTCCCTAAAATGCCAACTACATGCCCAGAATCAGGTTGCATCTTTTAGGATACTAAGAAAGCTGAGTGCAGAAGAATTGATGCTTTTGAACTGTGGTGTTGGAGAAGACTCTTGAGAGTCCCTTGGACTGCAAGGAGATCCAACCAGTCCATCCTAAAGGAGATCAGTCCTGGGTGTTCATTGGAAGGACTGATGTTGAAGCTGAAACTCCAATACTTTGGCCACCTGATGCGAAGAGCTGACTCATTGGGAAAGACCCTGATTCTGGGAAAGATTGAGGGCAGGAGGAGAAAGGGACAACAGAGGATGAGATGGCTGGATGGCATCACCGACTCAATGGACATGGGCTTGGGTGGACTCTGGGAGTTGGTAATGGACAGGGAGGCCTGGCGTGCTGAAGTTCATGGGGGTTGCAAAGAGTCGGACACGACTGAGCGACTGAACTGAACTGAAACTAGAGAAGATAAAACCCAAAATATAGGCATATCTCATTTCACTGTGCTTTGCAGATATTCCATTTTTTCACAAATTGAAGGTTATGGGAAGTCTATAGGTGCATTTTCCCACAAGCATCTTCTCATTTCACATCTCTATGTCACATTTTGGTAGTTCTCCTAATGCTTCAATTTTTCATTATTATTTTTGCTATAGTGATCTGTGATCAGTGATCTTTGATGTTATTATTGTAATTGTTTTGGCATTTTCCAGCAATAAAATACTTTTAAATTAAGATCTGTACATTGACTTTTTTAGACACAATGCTATCTTACACACAATAGACTACAGTATAATATAAACATATCTTTTATATACAATGGGAAACCATTGATTAAATTATGCAGCACACACAGGCAAGTTACCCATCAAGCTTCTCTGTAACAGCAGCAGCAGCAGGTGCCAATGCTGCTCCTACGTGCTAGACAATGTGCTGTGACAATTATTTAATTATTTGAGCAAGAGTCCTAATAACTAGATATTTTCCAGTGTGATCTAGAGTTCTTCTCAGCTGGGTACTATGTTGAAAGTTAAAAGCACACATATTAAATTACAATGGGACTAGGTGACTTCTCCATCACAGTTCATGGAAGACAGCTCATCAAAAGAACCAGGAAATAAAGACTCTTCTTACCCATCCACGGCTCCTGCTGAGACTAATGTGTTCTCATCTTGAAAGAGGACCACAGTAACACTCTGCTGGAAATCCTAATAGCACAAGGAAGGAAAAAAAAAAAGAAGGAAATCCTACTTGGGGTATAACAATCTTCACTATTAAGAGACCAAGATGCTAAAATGATGTCTTTATCCCCTAAATTGAACTAGACTAAATCTTTCCCCTCCAATCCCAGTCAAATATACACTGCAGATCAACAAGTAATTTTAGCAAGAAAATGACCAAAACATCAATTTATATCATACTATGAACACTTTGACTTGCATTCAAGAAAAAAAACTGGTGATTAACAGTATTTTAGTACCTAAATCTACTGGCTATATTTAAAATCATTCCTACTGTGTATCCTTAGGAAACTCATTTAACTTGTGCATGTTTCATCTATAAAATGCTGACATCTTTCCAGGTTATCATATAGGTGTGTCTTAAGAATTATAGATAAAAGATGCTCTGAAAAATCTAAAGGAGCTAGTGGAGTTTTACCTCCTAATCTATGTTAAATTTTCTTGGCCCCAGAATCTGATGAAACATCTGAAAAGTTACTCATTTTAACTCCATCTGGCCTCCAAAGACTATATACTAACCCTGTCAGTTTCCATTCAGGCCAATGTAATTTAAGTCCTAATGTTTTAGCAACCACACATGCCCAAAATATTAACTTAGACCCTACAGACCAGGAATACTGGAAAAATAAATTAAGAAACACTGATTTTTTTTTTTTAAAGAAAAAAGCTATATTATGGGCACTGTTTGAACTTTGACTGTAAAATGCTAAACAGGAACTTATATTTTTCCAAATGTTTCTCAAAATATTTTGAAATCTTTTGCCAAGTATTTTTTTTTTAAAGAAACAACATAAAAAACTCACATTTGTTCTGCAGTTTGTATTATGAAAACAACAGGGATTCCTTTGTCCTACAGAATATGGTACCGTGGTACTTAATATGCTTTTTAAACCACACATCTCTCTCTCCTAATGAGTTATTCTACTGTAGATGATGTGCATGCATGGAGATCTCTAGGGATGAGTTTCAGGAAACTGAATTTTTAACATATTTCCCAAGTGACTCCACTGCACCCTAGAGTTTGAGAATCAGTACTATAGGTACTGAATGAGAATTAAACAATAAGCTACTAATATCAAGAGGAAATAAAGGCTTTCATTCACTAGCTGAATCACTCTCATTTTATGCCCAACAAATTCCCCAAAATGAGACTCTTATGATGCTATCAAGATCTGCACACATGTACATAGCTATAAAACCTTACCACAGAAGGAGCAAGACCTTTGGAATTCTGTTTCTTCTTAGGTTTTGAAGGGGTTTGCTTGTCTAAGGTATTATGAGCTCCACTGATTTGGTTCACTTGCCTGTAAAATCCATCTGAAAAATATTTTTTTCAGAACATAATTGGTTTAGGTTTCAGAAATTTATTCCTATGCTGACTATAACATTTATACATAAGATCTCAAAATTATATTGTTTTAAATTAGTAAAAAATTAGAAGCCAGCAGGGTCATTGTACTATAATCTGTTGCGTGAGATTATAATATATAAAAAGGAAATAAGCACATGGATATTTATAGCAGCTTTATTCTTAACTGCCCAAATCTGGAAGCAACCAAGATGTCCTTCAATAGGCGAATGTATGAATAAAAGTGTGGTATAAGTAGACAACAATATATCATTCCATACTAAAAAAAAGAAAATGAGCTACCAAGTCATGAACAGACCTTAAATACATTTTACTAGGTGAGAGAAGGCAATCTGAAAAGGCTATATATACTCTAGGGTTCCAATCATATGACATTCTGATAAAGGCAACATCATAGAGATGGTATAAAAGATCAGTGATAGCCAGGGTTTAGGAGGGAAGGTATGATGACTAGGTGGAGAACAGAGGATTTTTAGGGCAGAGAAACTACTCTGTATGATACTGTAATGGCAGACACAGGCCAGTTATACATTTGTCAAAACTAAGAGCATGTATAACACCAACAGTGAACCATAATGTTAAGTAAGTACAGATGGACACTGGGTGAAAATGGTCTATCAGTGTAGGTTCGCCAGTTGTAACACATGTCCAACTCTGGTGCAGGATGTTGACAGTGCGAGAGACTGTGAGGACAGGGGGTATATCCACACAGAGAACTCTGTACATCTGCTCAATTTTGCTGTGTATCTAAAGCTGCTCTAAAAAAGTCTATTGCAAATAATTAAAAAAAAAAATGATATAAGCAGGGAGACAATCATTTGTTGTTGTTCAGTTGCTAAGTCATATCTGACTCTTTTGCGACTCCATGTACTCTAGCTCATCAGGCTTCTCTGTCCATGGGCTTTCCCAGACAAAATACTGGAGTGGGTTGCCATTTCTTTCTCTGATATGATCACTGCTTTCTGCTTAATGGCATCAGGGGGCAATGTGAGTATAATTAAATTTAATTTAATCCAATTCTTTAAAGTCCTCAAATTTTTAAAATTAAAATGAAAGATCATGTACTAATAATTGCAATTCCATTAATAATTTAGATAAATGGCATTATAGTTCATAAGGTAAATATGGAGGGTAATACTTGAAGAAATAACTAAAAACCTGAGAACCAGAGAAGAATTAGGGATTATGAACCTGTGCCCCCTGGTGGCAGACAGGTGAAATCATCAATTCTTTCACTCAAAATTATTATGGAGCAATACCACATTTGTCAAAATTAAAGTGGAAATAGATTACCTTTTTTGTTGCACCTGGTATCCCAGACCATAATGTTGCCATCTCTACCACCTGTACAGAAGACAGCTGTAGACACATACATAGTTTATCAAGAAGTTAACAAAGCCAGTCAATGACACATGTATTTCAATTTATTAATGAGGTTCCAAGGGTATCTATTATATGCTAGGTACTGTAATTGGCACTGGAGACTAAAAATGATAACATATATAGCTCAACACAAGTAAGAGAAAACAAAGCTGTGAAGGGAAAGTATTAGAACTCAAAATGCTTACATTGAGCAAAAACTTGATAGAATAAACCTCTGTAAGTTTTCTTAAAACCACATGAAATACTATATTATATACTAAAGTTGTAGCAAGAATAATGATAAATAAGCAATAACCAAAATATACTGAGTCCTTAATAAGTTCTAGACACTATCCTTTTTTTAATAGATGACCCTTTTTAAAAAACACCTCAGTGAGAATTATTACCCCCATTTTACAGATGAGCAAATTAAGGCACGGGGAGGATAAGTAACTTGCAAAGATTATTTTTGGCGGTATGTATCTGCAGCCCACACTCTGAAATTCCAAGCTGTATTCTCAGTATAAAATTATAAACTAGGTCAATATACAATTTGTGAAAGGAGTTGCCTCTGGGGATGGAAAAAGAGCAGTGACATTGGAGGAAGAAACACAGGAGGAACTCCAACTTACCTGTCATGCTTTCCTCTTTAAAATTAAACCAAAAAAATTATGCTTCCTGTATGAGTGAGCACTTATCAAGTTAATCCACCTGCAATAATTTGTAGCTAATGTAGACTGATTAATTTGCTAAGTGCTCAGGTCAAAATACAAAAACTACTTGAGGACCCTACAGACACTGAACAAAAACACACAATTTTTGGAAGAAGTCAACCACTGACGCAAGTGACTGGCCTACTGTAAGTTACTAGTTTTTTGTGGTTTTACCTTGAGTGCAGCCAGAGTTGTACCATCAGGACCAGGCAGCTAAAGTGCCAATAGAAAGACCACCTTCAAGCTAGAGGAATTAGGAAAAGGTGAGTGGGGCAATGCGAGCTGTAAGCAGCAGCAGGGAACCCTGGAGAGGGCAGAGAATGGGAAACCCTAATACTGTGTTTATACTTAGTGCAAGTCTCTGGCTGACTCCTGAACTGTGTATGCATGAGCAGTAAGAACTGAACTGAGATCTGATCTTCTGAACTAACTGCTTTCCTACAGGTTTGACCATGCAGTTTGAAATCAATCAATCAATCAATCAATTCAGTTGCTCAGTCGTGTCTGACTCTTTGCGACCCCCATGAACCGCAGCATGCCAGGCCTCCCTGTCCATCTCCAACTCCCGGAGTCCACCCAAACCCATGTCCATTGAGTCGATGATGCCATCCAACCATCTCATCCTCTGTTGTCCCCTTCTCCTCTTGCCCTCAATCTTTCCCAGCATCAGGGTCTTTCCCAATGAGTCAGCTCTTCACATCAGGAGGCCAAAAGATTGGAATTTCAGCTTCAACATCAGTCCTTCCAATGAACACCCAGGACTGATCTCCTTTAGGATGGACTGGTTGGATCTCCTTGCAGTCCAAGGGACTCTCAACAGTCTTCTCCAACACCACAGTTCAAAAGCATCAATTCTTCGGTGCTCAGCTTTCTTCACAGTCCAACTCTCATATCCATACATGACCACTGGAAAAACCATAGCCTTGACCAGACAGACCTTTGTTGGCAAAGTAATGTCTCTGCTTTTTACTATGCTGTCTAGGTTGGTCATAACTTTCCTTCCAAGTAGTAAGCGTCTTTTAATTTCATGGCTGCAGTCACCATCTGCAGTGATTTTGGGAGTCCAAAAAAATACAGTCTGACACTGTTTCCACTGTCTCCCCATCTATTTCCCATGAGGTGATGGGATCAGATGCCATGATCTTAGTTTTCTGAATGTTGAGCTTTAAGCCACCTTTTTCACTCTCTTCTTTCACTTTAATCAAGAGGCTCTGTAGTTCTTTGCTTTCTGCCATAATGGTGGTATCATCTGCATATGTGACGTTATTGATATTTCTCTTGGCAATCTCGAATCCAGCTTGTGCTTCATCCAGTTCAGCATTTCTAATGATATACTCTGCATATAAATTAAACAAGCAGAGTGACAATATGCAGCCTTGACATACTCCTTTCCCTATATGGAACCAGTCTGTTGTTCCATGTCCAGTTCTAACTGTTGCTTCCTGACCTGCATATAGATTTCTCAAGAGACCGGTCAGGTGGCCTGGTATTCCCATCTCTTGAAGAATTTTCCACAGTCTGTTGTGATTCAGACAGTTAAGGATTTGGCATAGTCAATAAAGCAGAAATAGATGTTTTTCTGGAACTCTCTTGCTTTTTCGATGATCCAGCAGATGTTGGCAATTTGATCTTTGGTTCCTCTGCCTTTTCTAAATCCAGCTTGAGCATCTGGAAGTTCACGGTTCATGTACTGCTGAAGCCTGGCTTGGAGAATTTTAAGCATCACTTTACTAGTGTGTGAGATGAGTGCAATTGTGCACCAGCTCTTTCCTGAGCAACATAACAGAATCCAGAGTCCAACATACCATTCCCAAAGCCCAGGGTACAATCTTAATTTATCTGCCATATAAAGAGCCAGGAAAATGAGTCCTTCTCAAGAGAAAAGAAATCAACAGAGGTCTACCTCAAAACGAACCAGATATTGATTTATCAGGTCTGGTTGTAAAATAGATATAACTATGTCAAGTGAAATAAAGATACAATCAATGAAAAAGATGAGAAAATCTCAGCAGAGAAACAAATAGAACTTACCAAAAACAAATGGAGATTTTAGAACCAGCACCCACAACTTCTGAAATGGTAAAATTCAATGGATAGGCCTAAGAGCAGAATGGAGGGAACAGAGGAAAAAGTCTATGAACTTGAAGACAAATCAACAGAAATCATTCCATCTCAGGAAGAGAGAAAACTAAGATTGAACATTATGCTAAGTGACAGAAGCCAACAACGTGTTGTATGGTTCCATTTACATGAAGGCATAATAGGCAAATCTATAGAGACAGAAAGAAAGTAGAGACAGAAAGAAAGTAGGCTGTGTAAAGCTGGGGAAGATGGAAAGTACTGTTGATGGTTCTGTTTTCTTTTGGGGCTGATGAAACTGTTCTAAACTTGGACTGTGGTGATGACTGAACTCTATAAAAAAATTTAAAATCACTGAAACATACACATTAAATGGGTGAATTTTATGGTATGTTAATTATATCTCATTTAAGAAAATTGAAGATGAATAAAGCTTCAAGGATTCATGGGACAATTTCAAAAAGTCTAGTACATGAGTAATTGTGGAGTTCTAGGAGAGAAAACAGGGCAGAAAAAATATTTCAAAAAATAAATGGCAGAAAACTTCCCAGATTGGGGTCAATCATGAGTTCAGTTTCAGATATGCTGAACTTGAAGTCCTAGCAGAAAAGTGAAAGTTGGAAATATAATCTGGTTCAATGTAAGTAGAGCAAAAAACAAAACTTGAATGGATGAGACTGTCCAGGGAGAAGGTACAGACTGAAAGGAAAACATGGGCAAATACCAAATCTTGGGCCATGCCAACACTTCAAGTTAGGTAAAGAAGCAAGAGTTCACAAAAGTAATTATGATGGGATACACAGAGATACTGAGAACCAGAGGCAGTGATATCACATGTTCCAAGGAAGAAAAAAATTTTCATGAGTTTAAAATAAAAGGCCAAATGTACCAAATAATGTACCAAATATTGACCAAGTAGAAAGCAGGCTGATTTCAGAAGAGAGCTGGGAATGGAAAACAGAACCAAACTGAACTAAATTGAGATGAAGACATTTAACCCGATTTTGATTACTCTTAAGAAACTTAGAAGAGACAAGGAAATAAGAAAGGGTGATAGCTAAAGGAGAATTCAAGGTTAAGATGTTCTTTTAGGGACAGGCCACAGATATGCTTGCACTTTTCCTAGGAAGAGCCAAGAAAAGGAAAACTGTGGAGACATGGCGTAAGGTCTTGGGGGAGGATCAAGAATGCTTCTCAACATTAGCAGCATGCTGGAATCCCTTGAGGAATTTTAACAAAATAGATGCCTGGCCCACCTCCGAGAGATTCACACTTAATTGGTATTTTAAAAAAGCTCCCTAATGTGTGTAACTGAGTCATACTGCTGTACAGCAGAAATTAACACAACATTGTGAACTTCAATAAAAAAACAAATCAAAAACCTTTCCAGGTGACTAATGAATCAGGGTTGAGATCCAGTACCCTAGGAAGAAAGACTGGTCTTAAATTGGAGAATGAAGAATGAGAAAGAAGGTACAAATTCAAAGATAATGTAGGAGGGGTAATAGAAATATAATTATTTTTAACTCTCCACTAGTAGTTCTAGCACCCCTTGGACCACATAAAAAACACATCTGGGAGTAACTGACAATTAGCAATGAAAACATTTTCAGGTTTTAAGATGGTAGATACTTAGAGAAGGCAAATTACACTAGTATTAATATAACTATGTCCTAACAGGTTATTTGTATCCTGCTCATGTAGGGCATGATTGGAGAAGGAAATGGCAACCCACTCCAGTATTCTTGCCTGGAAAACCTCATGGACTGAGGATCCTGGTAGGCTACAGTCCATGGGGTTGCAAAGAGTTGGACACGACTGAGCAACTTCACTTCACGTAGGGCTGAAAGAACTTGATCATGATCTTTTCTACTATGTTGACTACAACCCCTCAAAAACCAAGAAAATCCACCAAGCATTTACATGCTCCTCAGTTTTGCTTTTTTCATTTCTTGCTGTTGTTTTGTGCATGCACATCACATCTCATTTTTATGCTCATGAGGAGATCAAACCATTCAGTCCTAAAGGAAATCAACCTTGAATATTCAGTGGAAGGACGATGCTGAAAGTAATACTTTGGCCACCTGATGTGAAGAGCCAACTCATTGGAAAAAACCCTGAGGTTGGGAAAGATTGAGGGCAAGAGAAGGGGGCGACAGGGGATGAGATGGTTGGATGGCATCACCAACTCAGTGGACATGGGTTTGGGTGGACTCCAGGAGTTGGTGATGGACAGGGAGCCTGGTGGTTCATGGGGTCGCAAAGAGCTGGACACAACTGAGCAACTGAACTGAACTGAAACAAATTTACCTTAAGAATTAATACATTTTCACGACCTTAAATTATTTCCATAAACTCAGAATGAACTCTGACACAAGTGTAGCAAACTAGAACACAAGCATATCTAACTTTACAAAATAGATGTGCTAGGGAAAAGTTATGCAGATATAAAAACTATGTCATGTATTTCCCCTTCATGGGTCCAGTCTCAATAGCAACCAACTGATTTTTTTTTTAAAGTTCAAACCAGTTCCACAACTCGGTTTAATACTCCTGAGTGCTCAGGTGAATAAAGGAGAATATTCCTTTAAAAAACAGAATAATTTTTAATGATGAAGGAGACTATAATGTTTATTTCTATTATTACGAGACTAAAGTCAGATGGATCATATCAGCCACTTCTTTGAGGTGAATGTTTGTTGTCTCACTCTCATTTAGTGAGAAACAAATGGAAGGAGAAAAAACAAAAAAACAGCAATTAAGAGCTAATTCAGACACCCCTGCTAAGTTTCTCCCTAGCTACTATAGTACTATTCTGTATTACAGCTCTCCTTAAACCTTCCTTCCCCATTTTAATAGTTAAATAAATTTAGAAAGATTAACTTTGAGTAATAGGTGAAAACAGAGGTATTGTGGCTATTTGTGAATTTTTATCTCATCTGTAAGATTATAGAAAAAAATTATCTGAAGATGCTTGACTTTTAGGGACAAGTTAGAGGCAATATCCATTAGAACAGGACTAAAATCCAACTTGATTTCATTGAGGTTTCTGGGTAATCTTAAGAATCTCCATCATCTATGTAGGGAAAGGTGCAAATCTGACAGGTACAAAAAAATGCAGCTTATTACTTCACCATGAAAGAGATTAAGGACATGAAAGAGGATAAGCACATACTTACCTTTCTCAAACTTAGAAAAGGCAACTGACTTGAGGCTACACTGATGACCTTTGCAAGTTCCAATCAGCTCACCAGCATTTACATCCCAAAATTTGGCTGTCTGATCACCTGCTGCTGTAACCTTTCAAAAATAAGGTGTCATAATTTAATAAAACAACCCTTTACCAGTGTTTACTCAGATTCCCCCCAAAATGAAAGTCACTTACAAGCTTAAATTCACCAGGGACCCAGGCCAGATCAAAGACAGCATTCCAGTGAGCCATCCACTCTAAACAAAGAAAATGGTGAATGTGAAATGTCTAACTATGTTCTGTGGTAGCCATACCAACAACAATTTAAATGGCTTAAAAACTGTAGTAAAAAGATCAGTGGTCAGTACAGTAAGGTCTATGGGCCAAAGAGAATTTGTGGATTCACACACATTATGCATTCCCTTCACTATCTCATAAAACTACCATTTGATATCAAATTGCTTTCCATGAGGGGATATATTCTCTAAAACAGAGTATTTGTGAAACATTCTAAAAAATTTTCATCATGCTCTCTGAAAGGAGTCTAAACTACTTTATAGACATTCAAAGTTTATAACATTCAAAGTTCTGCCCACATTGGCCGTTATCTCTCACTGTTCTCTATGTACCTAATTCCAATCAAACTGCATCACTCCCTCTATCCACATCACTTCTGATGCTTTCCTATCTTGAGGCCTTTGCGAATGCTTTTCCCTCTACTTGGAGTGTCCAATTCCACCTCCACTGGTCTAAAATACCACAGTCCACCTTAAATGTCCCATCCTTCATGAAAAATTTCCCTCACCTACTTTACTAGATGAGAGCTTTCTGTGACCCTTGTGGTGTTTTCTCTGTATTTCATCTACATCATCTAAAGCCTTTTTTCTTTTTTGAGTTTTTTTTCAACACCTGACTTTGTTGTTGTTGCTGTTCAGTTACTACGTCATGTCTGACTCTGCAACCCCACGGACTGTAGTATGCCAGGCTCCTCTGTTTTCCACTATTTCCCAGAGTTTCCATGCTCAAATTCATGTCCATTCAGTCAGTGATGCTATCTAACCATTTCATCCTCTGCCACCCTCTTCTCCTCTTGCTCTCAATCTTTCCTATAGCATCAGGGTCTTTTCCAATGAGTTGGCTTTCCGCATCAGGTGGCCAAAGGATTGAAGTTTCAGTTTTAGCAACAGTCCTTCCAATGAATATTCAGGGTTGATTTTCTTCAGGACTGGTTTCATCTCCCTGTAGTCCAAGGGACTCTCAAGAGTCTTCTCCAGCACCACAGTCTGAAAGCACCAGTTCTTTGGCTCAGCTTTCTTTATGGTCCAACTCTCACATCCATACATGACTACTGGTAAAACCATAGCTTTGATTATATGGACCTTTGTCAGCAAAGTGATGTCTGTGCCTTTTAATATGCTATCTAGGATGGTCACAGCTTTCCTTCCAAGGAACAAGCATCTTTTAATTTCATGGATGCAGTCACTGTCCTCAGTGATTCTAGAATCCAAGGAAAGAAAATCTATCACTCCTTCCACTTTTTCTCCTTCTATTTGCCATGAAGTGGCAGGACTGGATGCCACGATCTTAGTTCTTAGAATGTTGAGTTTTAAGCCAGCTTTGTCATTCTCCTCTTTCACCCTTATCAAGAGGCTCTTTAGTTCCTTCACTTTCTGCCATCAGTGGTATCATCTGCATCCCTGAGGTTGTCGCTATTCTTCTGGCAATCTTGACTGCAGCTTGTGATTTATCTACCATGGCATTTCACACGACACACTCCACATATAAGTAAAAAAAGCAGGGTAACAATATACAGCCTTGTCATACTCCTGCCCCAATTTTGAACCAGTCAGGTCTTACCTCCTGGTCTGGTAAGTGGTCCAGTACTCCTATCTCTTAGAATTTTCCAGTTTGTTGTGATCCACAAGTCAAAAGCTTTAACATAGTCAATGAAGCAGTAGATGTTTTACTGGAACTTCCTTGCTTTTTCCATGATCCAACCAGAGTTGGCAATTCGATCTCTGGTTCCTCTGACTTTTCTGAACACAGCTAGTACCTCTGGAAGTTTTCAGTTCATGTACTGCTGAAGCCTACCTGGAAGGATTTTGAGCATAACCTTGCTAACATACAAAATGAGCACAGTTGTATGATAATATGAACATTCTTTAGCACTGACCTTCTTAGTGATTGGAATGGAAAGTGACCTTTTCCAGTCCTGTGGCCACTGCTGAGTTTTCCAAATTTGCTGACACACTGAGTGTAGCACTTTAACAGCATCATCTTTTAGGATGTGAAATAGCTCAGCTGGAATTCTATCACCTCCACTAGCTTTATTCAGTGATGCTTCCTAAGGTCCACTTGACTTCACACTCCAGGATGTCCAGCTCCAGGTAAGTGACCATACCACTGTGATTATCTGGGTTATTAAGACCTTTTTTGTATAGTTTTATGCATTCTAACCCCCTCTTCTTAATCTCTTCCGCTTCTGTTGGGTCCTCACCATATCTGTCCTTTATCATGTCCATCCTTGCTTGAGATGTTCTCTTGATATCTCCAATTTTCTTGAAGAAATCTCTAGTCTTTCCAAAGTTAGCACCTCTTTAAGGTCAGCAGAACTTTGCCTTATGCATAAAAGATACCTGTTCAATATAAATATTTTAAAGCAATGTTTCCTCACATTAAGTATAAAGAAATTTAACTTTTTAAAAGAAAAATTGTTTTTAATCCTAAAATGTACTTTTCTTAACTCTCAGTAAAGATTTTGCTGTAGTTAACAGTTACTGACAGAAAGGTAGTCCACCATTTACTTTCAATCTGGTCCCTAAACAAATTTAATCAGAAGTGAGTATCACTGATAATTTATTCAAATAGTAATTTCCTTGTGCTGGTGGTTTAGTCACTAAGTTGTGTCCGACTCCTACAACCCCTTGGACTGTAGCCTGCCAGGCTCCTCTGTCCATGGGGTTCTCCAGACAAGAATACTGGAGTGGGTTGTCATTTCCTTCTCCAGGTTATCTTCCCAACCCAGGAATCGAACCTAGGTTTCCTGCATTTCAGGCAAATTCTTTACCGACTGAGCTACGTGGGAAGCCTAATTTCCTTGAGGTTTTATGAATTAAAAATATTAAAACGAATATTTTAGATCTTGACTTACCTTTGATGCACTTCTTTCTACTGGTTTGTGATTCTGTGTTATATAACCTAACAAAGCCTTCTTCATTGGCAACTGCTAGTATGTGCTCCATATTGGGAGCTACATAAGAAATAAAGAATAAAATAAAGAGTAAGAAAAAATGTTAAAGCTGAGTTTAAAGCCATATATATATATATATATATATATATATAAACAACATAATATAGATTAATTGAAAACTACAAGGTAAACACAAAGAACCTGTTTGGGAAAAGGTAAGACAATTCTACCCATATAGCATCTGGTATGGTAGAGGTTTTTCTGAGTTAAAAATGGCTTAAAATTTGCCATAATATCTAATTTAGTAAGTGACTGAAAAACACCAATGTTCAGATAACCTCTTATTTAAAGGAGAGCTGAATCAAGAGTGACACCTGAACAAAACAAGAGTGGTACTGGACAGTGGCAAAACAAAAAGGAGGGGAGCATGTGACACAGGCCTCGGGCAGGCTGACCCTATTAAATTACTGTCCTTTCCCTCAACTTTTTACTTCTCCTCTCTTAGACTTTTAACAGCAGGGGTAAGTACTTCTGCCTCGGTGAATATGCTCCCCAGTGCACTGCAGAAGTGACAGACTCGATGAGATCAAAATGATGGCTGAACCTCTGTAACCCTTTCCTGGTATCAGATAAAAACAAACAAACTGAAAATGATGCTCTAAGAATCTCGTGCTTTAGCAGAAATATATAACTATGCACAGAGATTAAGTATATTTTATAAATGAGAAAAGAGGAAATAGAAAAACTCTACCATCTAATTTACTTTTTGTTAAAAGAGAGACAGCCTAGGATATTTTCCCTCTAAAGAGTGAACCAAATCATTTCTGACCAAGCCTCACTTATTCAGTAATTCTCTTACTGGAAGAGAAGGTGCATCCAAAAGGAGGAACTGGGGTTCCTGTTTCTCCATAAGAAGTATGCTCATCATTATAGTTGCACTGATAGCCAGTGAGCAGGGACTGTAGCGGGTACTGTGAAGACCATCCTAAAGAAAGACAAAATTCCTTATAGATTCCAATATATCATCACATTTCAGTACTTCTAACAAATGCAGAGGCAAAAATTCATTTTTAAAAGTTTCATATACTTTACTACAGATCTATTCACTATCCATGGCCCTCTGGAATACAGTTTCAGGGATTTTCCTAAGTGGTCCTAAGGAAAAAATGAAAGAGCACTCTCAACCTCTGGTGACATACAGCTGTGGGCTTACCATCTTAAATGAAGCCTCTTGCTAACGTATGTAAGACGGCAAGACACCAGTGGCCTTTGTATGTTACCCCTTCCCCCATCCTTTGGTGACAACCACGAAAAATAACCACAAAGACTACCACAACCATTAAGACAGCTGTTCTTTTTTTTTTTTCATTTATTTTTATTAGTTGGAGGCTAATTACTTTACAATATTGTAGAGATTTTTGCCATACATTGACATGAATCAGCCATGGATTTACATGTGTTCCCCATCGTGAACCCCCATCCCATCCCTCTGGATCATCCCAGTGCACCAGCCCTGAGCACTTGTCTCATGCATCCAACCTGCACTGGTGATCTTTTCACACTTGATAATATACATGTTTTGATGCTATTCTCTCAGATCATCCCACCCTCACCTTCTCTCATAGAGTCCAAGTCTGTTCTATACATCTGTGTCTCTTTTTCTGTTTTGCATATAGGGTTATCATTACCATCTTTCTAAATTCCATATATATGCATTAGTATACTGTATTGGTCTTTATCTTTCTGGCTTACTTCACTCTGTATAATGGGCTCCAGTTTCATCCATCTCATTAGAACTGATTCAAATAAATTCTTTTTAATGGCTGAGTAATATTCCATTGTGTTTATGTACCATAGCTTTCTTATCCATGTGTCTGCTGATGGGCATCTAGGTTGCTTCCATGTCCTGGCTATTATAAACAGTGCTGCGATGAACATTGGGGTGCACGTGTCTCTTTCAGTTCTGGTTTCCTCGGTGTGTATGCCCAGGAGTGGGATTGCTGGGTCATATGGCAGTTCTATTTCCAGTTTTTTAAAGAATCTCCACACTGTTCTCCATAGTGGCTGTACTAGTTTGCATTCCCACCAACAGTGTAAGAGGGTTCCCTTTTCTCCACACACTCTCCAGCATTTATTATTGCTTGTAGACTTTTGGATAGCAGCCATCTGACTGGTGTGTAATGGTACCTCATTGTGGTTTTGATTTGCATTTCTCTGATAATGAGTGATATTGAGCATCTTTTCATGTGTTTGTTAGCCATCTGTATGTCTTCTTTGGAAAATGTCTGTTTAGTTCTTTGGCCCATTTTTTGATTGGGTCATTGATTTTTCTGGAATTGAGCTGCAGGAGTTGCTTGTATATTTTTGAGATTAATCCTTCATTTGCTCTTATTTTCTTCCATTCTGAAGGCTGTCTTTTCACCTTGCTTGTGGTTTCCTTTGTTGTGCAAAATCTTTTAAGTTTAATTAGGTCCCATTTGTTTATTTTTGCTTTTATTTCCAATATTCTGGGAGGTGGGTCAAGGATCTTGCTGTGATTTATGTTGGAGAGTGCTTTGCCTATATTCTCCTGTAGGAGTTTTATAGTTTCTGGTCTTACATTTAGATCTTTAATCCATTTTGAGTTTATTTTTGTGTATGGTGTTATAAAGTGTTCTAGTTTCATTCTTTTACAAGTGGTTGACAAGAAGACAGCCATTCTTATCAAGTAAAATTCTATGTTTTTAGAGTTTTAAATCATTACTGCAAACTTAAATTACTAGCAACATCACACATAATCCAATGGTTGGAGTCAAAGGAAATAATGTATTAGGTTGGCCAAAAAGTTCATTTGGGTTTCTGGTAAGGTGGTGTGGAAAAATCCGAATGAACTTTTTGGCCAAACCACAATGTCAATGCACCTACCGTAGTCACTAACACCAGTTCAGCTCAGTCGCTCAGTTGTGTCCGACTCTTTGCGACCCCATAGACTGCAGCACGCCAAGCCTCCCTGTCCCTCACCATCTCCTGGAGTTTACTCAAACTCATGTCCATTGAGTTGGTGATGCCATCCAACCATTTCATCTTCTGTTGTCCCTTCTCTTCCTGCCTTCAATCTTTCCCAGCAACAGGGTCTTTTCAAATGAGTCAGTTCTTTGCATCAAGTGACCAAAGTATTGGAGTTTCAGCTTCAGCATCAGGCCTTCCAATGAATATTCAGGACTGATTTCTTTTAGGATGGACTGGTTGGATCTCCTTGCAGTCCAAGGGACTCTCAAGAGTCTTCTCCAACACCACAGCTCAAAAGCATCAATTCTTTGGTGCTCAGCTTTCCTTATAGTCCAACTCTCACATCCATACATGACTACTGGAAAAACCATAGCCTTGACTAGACGGACCTTTGTTGGCAAAGTAATGTCTCTGCTTTTTAATATGCTGTCTAAGTTGGTCATAACTTTTCTTCCAAGGAGCAAGCATCTTTTAATTTCATAGCTGCAATCACCACCTGCAGTGATTTTGGAGCCCCCCAAAATAAAGACTGTCACTGTTTCCCCATCTATTTGCCATGAAGTGATGGGACCAGATGCCATGATCTTAGTTTTCTGAATGTTGAGCTTTAAAGCCACCTTTTTGACTCTCCTCTTTCACTTTCATCAAGAGGCTCTGTAGTAGTTCTTCGCTTTCTGCCATAAGGGTGGTGTCATCTGCTTATCTGAGGTTACTGATATTTCTCCTGGCAATCCTGATTCCAGCTGTGCTTCATCCAGTCCAGCATTTCTCATGATATACTCTGCATATAAATTAAATAAGCAGGGTGACAATATGCAGCCTTGACACACTCCTTTCCCTGTTTGGAACCAGTCTGTTGTTCCATGTCCAGTTCTAACTGTTGCTTCTTGACCTGCATACAGATTTCTCAGGAGGCAGGTCAGGTGGTCTGGTATTCCCATCTTTTGAAGAATTTTCCACAGTCTGTTGTGATCCACACAGTCAAAGGCTTTGGCATAGTCAATAAAGCAGAAGTAGATGTTTTTCTGGAATTCTTTCGCTTTTTTGATGATCCAATGGATGTTGGATCATCCAATGGATGATCTAATGGATGTTGATCCAATGGATCCAATGGATTTGATCTCTGGTTCCTCTGCCTTTTCTAAATCCAGCTTGAGCATCTGGAAGTTCACGGTTCATGTACTGTTGAAAGCCTGGCTTGGAGAATTTTGAGCATTACTTTGTTAGCATGTGAGATGAGTGCAATTGTGTGATAGTTTGAGCGTTCTTTGGCATTGCCTTTCTTTGGGATTGAAATGAAAACTGACCTTTTCCAGTCCTGTGGCCACTGCTGAGTTTTCCAACTTTACTGGCATATTGAGTGCAGCACTTTCACAGCTTTCATCATCTTTTAGGATTTGAAATAGCTCAATTGGAATTCCACCACCTCCACTAGCTTTGTTCATAGTGATGCTTCCTAAGGCCCACTTGACTTCACATTCCAGGATGTCTGGCTCTAGGTGAGTGATCACACCATCGTGATTATCTGAGTCATGAAGATCTTTTTTGTACAGTTCTTCTGTGTATTTGTGCCACCTCTTCTTAGTATCTTCTGTTTCTGTTAGGTTAATGCCACTAACATATTCACAAGTAAATATTAGTTCTTATACTCTCTCTTTCCTTTCCAGCACTGAAATTCTAGGATTCTAAAATGTTAACAGTAACAAGTCATAGTATCTTAAAGTTTATTACAGCAATTTTAAGCCTTGAATAGTAGTAGTAGGTAGGGTCTGGAATTCTTTAAAGAAGGTGAAATCAAACACAAGTTTTGAAAGGAGAGTAAGTATTCACTGAATATATGAGAGGAAGAAATTCAGAGTGGAGGGAAAGCTTACTCTGCTTGGGTCAGAGAACTGGTGTGTACTATGGTCCTAAAATAGTAAACCATCTACAGGGTTTTGTTTTACCATTTTGCTATGTAGGTTAACATATTTTAAATATATAAAATATTCATTTAGTATACAGTTATTGAGAACCAAATAGTAAGCATTAGAGGAAACAATGAAGTTACAATCTACAGAACTGTCTAAATAATTAAGAAACTCACTCATATTTTAGAGTACTCTCAATTCTTACTTTTGGTAATATAAAAAAATGTCATTTGGAGGAGACATCTTAGCCTGATATAATCTCACACAAATCTAGTTCCGCAGGTTCACAGAAATAACCTGAAGGAATACAAAGGAGGCATAGAAATTCAACTCAGATTTAGTCATTACTCCTGGGGGTATCACCTTAAGGGCAGATATCATTGTAAACAAGCCATTAAAGACCACTAAAAGAATAATATGAATACAATAATTAGTTATGTTGCAGAGTTCACAAATATCCATCTACAGACAGAAAGGCAGTCCTTAAAAGCCTCTGTTCTAAAACTATATTAATACAGTTTTTTACATAGAGTTAGATAAGGTGATAAAAAAAATGACTTTTCAAACTTAGTCAAATTACATTAGGACAAATCTGTGGGAGAAATGAAGTGGAGATATATTCAAGGGAAAAAAACAACTGTGTAGACTATCTAGCAATTTATACTTTAAAAAATGGTTGATGTGATTATTAAATCATTACTATAGTATTTGTAATCTATTAGACACATTTTAAAGACTGAGGCAGCATTTTCATTTAAGAAGGTAAACACAATATTGTCAGAAATGATATATCCTTTGCACCTGTTTAAACTTTTGAAGAAAACTTCAAGATATCAATTAAAAAATACACAGAAGAGTAATCAGCTTTCATTTTAGAAAGATCATTGGCAGAAATATGGAAAATAAAGTGGAAAGAGGGAAACTAAGAGGCCATTCAGGAAACTTGTCATAGTCCAGACAAGAAAGTATAAAGGCCCAACCTAGGGAAACAGAGTGGTAAGCATAACATAAATCCAAAATATGTGAAGAGGCAAAATCAGTGAAGACAAAGAGGAGGAAAGATTCAAGAGATTTTAAGGGAACTTCTCTGAAAGGGTATCTTGAGGAAAATGGAAGAATTCTGATTAACTTTCAGGTTTCTGACTGTGAAGACCAGTTTAAAATAATGAGACCATTTCCTTAAGTGGGTAATATAGAAGGTTAGGGACAAAAGTGAGTTTGGTTTTGGTACATGAGTTTGAGATGTTTCTGGGACTGACCACCTGGATGAAGATGCTTATACACCTCTCATAGAAATAGATGTAAAGGGAACAGAAAGTTGCAGGTAGTAGTGGAAGAAATCCTGGTTATAGCTATGATCACCCATGGGAGTTGGTAGAAACAGAAAAGGGGCCTAGGATAGATCATGGAAGGAGAAAGATGGTCATACAAAGTTTGGTGCATGATGTAAAACAATGAATGAATTTCAGTGCCTAAACACAAAACAATGAATGAGTATTTGGGGGCTCGGTGTGGGCTGTCTCAAAACATACCATAACAGCATATTGATTATTTTGAATGAAGTTGCTTGAGAAGCAGCTGAGGCAAGAAGGAAACCCTGACCTTCCTGTCTCCCTGAAAAGCAGGAAATAAATCTCTCCTATGAAAGGTGCACTCTTTGCAACTGGAGGTAGAAGGTCACCCTTATCCAACAGAGAGGAAATTCAGAGCCAAGAAGCCTGTGTAAACAAACCTTGTAACTTCTTTTAATTTACTACCTCAAGCCCAAACTCTGTTTAGATTCCTTACTAATTACGTATCCCAAACTTAAGTTTCTTTGTCCTGTCAATTCCTCACAAATTTATTGCCTTTTTTTTTTTTTTTTGGTCTGAAAAGTATAAAAGCTGCCTGCTTTGGCCACTTCTTAGGTACCATTTCTATGAGATCTCCATGCACATGAATTAAAATTTGTTTTCCTTCTGCTAATCTCTCATGTCTTCTTTGTTATTAGTCCAGCCATACACCCAACCAGGGTAGAGGGTAAAATTTACCCTTCCTAGAAAAATATTTACGAATCAGAGAAAAAAGAAAGTTGGCAGACAGAATGTAGAGTTAAGAGAAGAATCTGTTTCAAAAGAAAGACTACATAGCTTGCTCCAGGTCACACAGACAAGTAAGGAGTGGAGGTGAAATCAGTCAGGAAGACCGAGCTCTTAACTACCATGCTATACTGACATTAATGACGCAAAGGATACAGAAGTTAGTAAAGCAAGGTCGCAGCAGAGACAGAAAGGAGAGGCTTTGAGAGTATAATTTAAAAGACTGTCTAAGAGATAAGAATGGTAGAGTTTTAGATTGGAGGAAGGAAGTTGAGGAGCTACTCCCCAGTTGTCTCAATATCTTCTTCCAAGACCTATGCCTTAAATATAAAAAGCTCACTTCTCACATTTTGTTTTCCACACGATTTCTAGGGGAAAGAAGACCTTGTTCATCTTTAAATGAATGAGATTTCATTTGCAGCTAAGCTTAGTTTGGGTGGTAACTCCCTTATCAAAAACTTACCAGAAAGTTTCAGGTTTATGACACTCAAACCTAAAGCCCAAAATTCTTATTGCCAATGTTTTAACCTAAGGAACTTCAAGAACTGTAAAGAATAAATTGGAAGCCTATATACTAACATGGAAGTATTTCCAAGTTCTATGTAAAAGTAAAGAGATAAAACACTTTATAGAAATCTAGAAATAACAATACTTCCTACTTCTGGTATTGACAAACATTTTGGAATAAAATATTTCAATCTATTAATAGTGATCATTTGTGGGAAATGTGCTTACGGGCATTTTTCAGTGTATCACTACGAATTTTTATACCCTTGAATTAATCAGGAAGAAAAAATTCTGACCATGCTAGAAGCAGATGTTCTGTTCTCTCTGCCTGACTGAGTTCTTTTTAAGAGCCGATCCTATTCTCTGGTGTATACAGCAAACGTTAGGGCTCACTAAGTTTCCACTACAAATGAATGAATTAATCAATGAGTACAACCCTTGATGATCTCACACAGCTGTTCGTTCAGAAAGCCACACACACTCAAATGCACGCGTTTTCCAGTTAACGTGCAAAACAGACATAAACCGTAATGGAGGTCAGTTAACTCAACGTCCCTCCCTCCCTCAGCCTACACGACCGAAAAAAGTCTCGATTACGACGAAAAGTATCTCGAGGGCACGAAAGTCCGGCTTTCTTCAGTATTCCGAGCTAGCACGAACTCATTCTGGCTGAGGGAGAACTCGGCGGCTGGGAAACTGAACTGTAATCGGCATTGGTCCGAGGAGTTGTTCTGGGGGAGGTGAATCCCGCCGGCAAGAGACAGCGGTTAGGGCCGTTACTCACCATTTCTCGGGACGCCAAACTGGGGCTGGCGGAGCACCGAATTGAAGAGCATCTGGGACGGAGGAATACGCTCAACTGAGGAAAAAGTCGTGGAAATGCCTCCAGATTCAGCGGAAACTGTATCTTGCACCCCTTAGACCACGACTAGTTATTGCCTCCAACTCCCGCCACTGTAAGCCCCGGTCACCAAACTCCCCGCCAAACTGACGTCACGCCCTCTGATTGGCTCTCGCGGCGGCGTCCGGGCGCGTACGAGTCACTTCCCCCTTCGAAGCCCCGCCTCCTTCTCGCCCAGCCGCGGGAACCTGGCGTTCCAGAGCTCCCTGAGCGCCTGCGCGGGGGGCCGCAGGGGCGCTGGCGAACGGCGGGGAGCCCAGGGCGCATGCGTAACACAGCTTGACAGAGCGCGGAGGAAAAATCCGCGAGGTGGTGGAAGAAGATGGCGGTGGTGGGGCCGACTTTACAATCTCTATGAATAGGCTAGTGGAGTAACTGTATGGGTCATGGCGTCAAACTCAACTAAGTCTTTTCTGGCAGATGCCGGCTATGGCGAACAAGAGCTGGATGCTAACTCTGCCCTTATGGAGTTAGACAAAGGTATTTCGAAAGAGCGAGCTGCGCGGATGAAACGGGTGTGGGGGGAAGTGGCGCCACCAGGCGGTGGTAACCGCGCGAGAAACTGGGAAGGCGCATGCGCGGTGCTTCCTGGGCGGGGGCAGGGGGTGGGCACCTTTGCTTTTGGTGAGCCCAAGGCTTTTCGCGGCTTTGGGAGGCTGGCAGAAAACGGCAGCGTTGCTAGGTTGGCCTTGGATAGCTGAAAAAGTAGAGAGCCCCCGCGAAAGGTTCCTTTGGACCACTTGAGGGTACAGCCCCGCGATTTCCCAAACAATTTCTGAAAGTGGTATATTGACATTATGAAATTATTTTTCAGTATGTGCAGTTAAGACCAGGTCTTCACCAAGACTGCTGCATCTTGCACCGACTTTACAGCGATTCATTTGATTTCTGTAATTCTTACCTGCCGGTTACTAGGCAGGTCAGAAATAGGGCCAAGACATCCGAAAAGCATAGCCCCTTCTCATTCTCTGCTTCCCTGGTAGCTCAGCTGGTAAAGAATCCGCCTCCAATGCAGGAGAACCTGGTTCGATTCCTGACTCGGGAAGATCCCGTGGAGAAGGGATAGGCAACCCATGCCAGTATTTTTGGGCTTCACTTGTGGCTCAGGCTTAGTGTAATTAAAGTAGTATACTTTAAGGGCAGGGTCAGATCAATGGAAAGATTAGAGAATCTGGATTTACTTGGGAACTTGTGTATGATAAATGATTTTCTTACTATATTTCCTACATTTGATAGTTTTAAAGGGAATATTTGAAGCCCATCGATAGAGTAGTGTTACTTCTTAGAAGCTACTGTTAAGTTCTAAAAACACAATAAGTGAGACATCATATATCCTTATTTTATCCATTAAGATACGTATTTTTTCACATATTAACATCTCTGAAACTGAGTCATCTTAAAAACCGGTAAAATAAAGTCTTGGTTATTATTTAATTGGGCTTTCTTTGTGGCTCAGCTGGTAAAGAATCCACCTGCAATGCAGGAGACTTGGGTTCGATCCCTGGGTTGGGAAGATCCCTTGAAGGGAAAAGCTACCCGTTCCACTATTCTGGCCTGGAGAATTCCCTGGACTGTATAGTCCTTGGAGTCGCAAAGAGTCGGACACGACTGAGTGACTTTCACACACATTCTGCAGATGAGTTCCATTTCCTTACGGCAGTGAAGGGATGGGACAGGCTTGGTGTAGTAGTAGAAGCTTTGGTAGACTTGAGTTGAATTCTAATTCTGCTAATTTATAATCATGGACATGTCACTTAACCAAACCTAATCTTGTTTTTTTCCTCTGCAAAATGAGTAAAATACCATTGAGCTGGCAATATTGTTGTAAATATTAAGTGATATAATGGTATGAGAAAAGTCCTTATTAAATGCAAAAGGAAAAATAATGCAAAAGAGATTTGCCTGATCTTTTTTTTTTGTTTTCTTTTTTTTTAAATTTTTTTCCATTTATTTTTATTAGTTGGAGGCTAATTACTTTACATCATTGCCTGATCTTTTAGATAGGGATTTGGAAGACAAGGGCAGGTATTTCTTATTAGAGAACTCAAAGTATTACAATGAATCTTTTGTTTCAGTGTACTTAATTTATTTTTATTGAATGGGTATACAGTTAATTTTTTATTAACTGTAGCCAGTGTGTAATATATTAAGAACAGGACTAGAGAGGTTAGAAGGATTTTTAAGTCCAGTTGGAGCCACTTCCCAGCCCTCTGACTTGGACACTATGTTAACTTTTCTGGAACTTAAAAAAAATTTTTTTTACCCTGTATACATTTAAAGTGCAGTTGGTCCGGATAAGAGTTTCTCAGACTTACAAACAAACTTTCAACTTCTTTTGATCAACATGAAAATGTCATAACACTCCAATGAGATATTCCTTTGGTTGAGTCACCGTAGTGCAAGTCCATCATCCAAGAAAATGATGTTGAGCTTTGCTTTCTCTTCAGAAAACTATAGGGCTTTTTCCTTCTGAAATAGGAAATCATAATATCAGATGTGTTATTTAAACACTGCCATAACCTTTTCCTCTCCATTCTGTTAATTCCTTCCTTATTCCCCAATAAGAGTTGCGGGTCTACATATCTAATATTTCTACTAATTCTAAAGAGGTTTTCTACCACTGGGGTCCGGGTGGACTCATCCCATAATGACAGTAGAGAAGTAGTGTGGAACAGAATTGGGGTGGGACTCTGAAGAAATGAGAAATCTAGAATTGTTTAATTCCTGAAAACTTGCAGTTGTGGTAAGAAAAAAATGTAACACAATTTTTCCTTCCCAAAAGTTGAAATAGGAATATTTTAGACCTGTAAGAAGTGTATAGATGGCTATTGAGTGTTTAACTGTAAACCAGGTGTCAGTCCTAGATCATGTTTAATCCTCCCAGCGGTGCCTTGGGTGATGTAAGATGTTATTCCATTCCATAACATCTTACAGAAGAACGCAAATTAACATTTTGACCAACCCAGTATTTTACAGGTAGAAGTTGGCCTGGGGTTGCCTGAATGCATGTATGCTCCACAGATACCAGCGGGGCTACTGCTGTAGTGAAGAGGTGATTATAATCATCCAGGGAAAAGAGAATGGTGGCTTGGGCCAGGGTGGTTACTGTGTGAAGCTGTGTGAAGTGCTGAGATTATGTATGTATTTTGAAGGTAGGGCCTACAAGATTGGCTAACGAATTAGTTGAGGATGTGAGAATAAGAGGTCAGGAGAAACTCAGAGGTTTCTTGGTTTTTTTTTTTGGTCAGAGCTATTGGAAGTATATATTGTCATTTACCGAGTGGATGAAAATCAGATCATTGTGGGACTATTGAATTTGAGCTTTCTCTTAGACATACAAATGGAGATGTCGGGTAGGCAGTTAGATAGACAGATGTGATACTTGAACTCCATTATAAAGAAGTATCTGCAGCACAAGTGTCAAGAAACCCACTTGGGAAATACTGCCATTTTATAACCTGTTGTATGGTTATGACTGTTGCACTTTGTTCTGAGCATTTTGAGCAAGCATGGCAGTAAGGTATTTATTTCTGATCTCTCTAGGAATAAATGGATGCTCTTTTAAAGCTGACTGAAGTCCATTTGTTTAGGATGTAGTTAGTAACACAGGAAAGTAATCATTCATATGATAGTCATTAATTCATTTAATAAACATTTACTAATCACCTGCATTGTGTTAGGCACTTAAACTTGGAGCTGTATTAGTGAACAAAACAGCTTTAAGACCCTCACCTGAGGGAGAGAGGTTCAAGAAGGAAGGGACATATGTATACCTATGGCTAATTCATGTTGATCTATGGTAGAAATCAAACCAGTGTTGTAAAGCAATTATCCTTCAATTAAAAATAAGTTTTTTTTTAAAAGACCAAAAAGTGGGCAGTGGCCCAATTTCTGGAAATCTCCTCCCCTTATCCCAAGTAATTGGACTCATCCTCCCACTCATTAGCCTACAAAATTATCCAGCCCATAGAAACTAACCATGGCCGCATTTTAAGACCACAGCACTCGCGCTCTGTGGTGGCCCATGCTGTATCTATGGAGTGTGTTTCTCTTTGAATAAATCCACTTCTTACCTATGGGAAGAAAAAGAAGCTTGCTTAAGGAGTCAGATAGGACTAGATCAAATATGGCCTTGTTAGGACAAGAAGTTTGGATTTTATGCAAAGTACATTGAGAAGACATGGAAAGCTTTTAAGCAGAGGACTGACATGGATTGGCTTACGTTTTTGAGGACCAACTTTCGCTTCCATGTAGAGGTCTTTTTGCCTTCCGCTTTTTAAAGTTTTAAGCTGATAACTATGCTGCCTGAGCTGTGAAGACAAAGCAAACTGAGTTAACTGTTAAATCAAGTACAACTTACATGCATTGGACATTTCATAATACAGACCATCATTTCTATAGTACAGGCATTACAAAGGACATACCTCACATAATTTATTCAGTTAGTGTAACTTTTTCACTAAACATTGTCAATGTAAAGATTTTTAAGTCAGTTTATGGGAAGTGTCCTGATGATTTAGGAAAACTTATGCAAAATCTCCACCCTGGGTGGAAAGGAGAAGCTACCTTAGAAGACACAACTCAGCCTACCTGCTTTCTGTGAGGTTGGTCTTGGGAGGGATGAGATCAAAGGGCAGTGGAGAAGAGAACAGTTCCCCTTTCCTGTGCCTGGGCAGTGAGAAAGGAGGACATGCAGGGGTTGGGGTTGCTAGCCGAGGTGCTGGTGAGCTTAATGCTGCATGGAAAACTTGATGGTATGTTCAGTGAAGAAATTAATAATGAAATAGAAGTATGATGTAAATCAGGACAACTATCTTGTCTCCCTTATTTTCCCCTTAGATGCTATCATGTCACCTATGTTGTGAAACATCTAAATTCTCAGACTGAAGAAGAGCGCAGGTCGCTTTTACACTGTCTGTATTGGCACAGGTGTAGTTGGCATGATAAATGTGAGGCCTTGCCAGTATCCCCATATCCCCTTCCAAAGAGGGAGGTCTCTGCAGCCAGGATTGTACCAGGTGACTTAATTCCATGCCATAAGTGATTCAGAAATGGACATGGGATCCACACTGAGTCAATCAAATTCTTTCTCTTTAGGAATCTATACTACCAGACCAAACTTAGTTTGATAGTGTTGAGATGTGGATCTGTTGGTATTGGCACATGTGTGCTCAGTCATGTCTGATTCTTGGTGACCCTCCTCCGTCCATGGAATTTTCCAAGCAAGAATAGTGGAGTGGGTTGCCATTTCCTACTCCAGGAGATCTTCCCGACCAAGGGCGAACCCATCTGCTGCATTACAGGTGGATTCTTTTCCATTGAGCCGCCTGGGAAGCCCGTGGACCTCTAAGATCATGTGTAACAGAATTGAGGTCAGACTGTTAACTCAAAGGCACATAAAAACAAGCATTATAATGGACTACTTCTTAAAGCCTGTGATCCCTTGGCCGGCTGTGAGACCTGATCCAAAAATTCAAGAC